ATCATTCCTCTATCAGAAACACAACGAACTAGCAATTCATCAAGTGGAATTGCTAGTTCCTTGTGTTTCTGCTAATTTATTCATAAATACGTGCATATCTTACTTCATTCCACTCTTGATCTGCTATTGTTAATTCAGTATTCGTCTATCTTCGACAATACATTTCAAAACAACATCTCATTCCACCTCCTCCTAATCTTTATTACGATTTCCAGATTACTGTTTTCTGTAATCACAGAAGACAACAATCCAAACAAGTACGAATATTAATTGAAACTGTATAACTGCTCTATTATTACTCATTACTGTGAAATTTAACCACATCAATAAATCTGAACCATCCATTCCACGAGTTGTTTTTATGTCTAAACGTATTTTCACGATCATAACCGCTTTCAAGTGTTTAGCATTTAGCCAATTCGAGCACATAAAAAACTGTTATAAGGCAACAAACGTCTGATAAGAATCATTCCTCACAAATTTAGCAAAAACTTCAAATATTTGGAGATCAAAAAGTTTTCGAGAGCAGAATATTGCAAACGAGTTAATTTTCTAACTTGCTTCTAATATTGCTATGATTTAAAATTTACTGAAAGCATGAATTTAATTTAATCAAAATTTATCAAAGCTGTTATCATTTCAGTCAATAATAAGTATTTGAACACTATAATTGAGGTGTAACAGATCACCGTAATCTGCCTCTGAAAGGAATCATCATTAGAAGCTCAAAAAATCTTGGAAATAATCATCGATGCGAAAGATCGTTTATCAGAAACTATTTCACATATTCCTTCAGAGTGAATGGGGAGCTTTCATAAGCTCAATCTCACAATTTCTGGCCTATGAAATTCGAAAATAATTTTGTAATTATTTAGTATGTTACTTCTAATCTGTCAATTGAGAACAATTAGCAACTTTCACATGAATGTTTCAGAATAATAATGATTGATTGTCCAAGTAGACTTTTGTCGATTCGAAAAAAGATATATTTTATGTACTCATGTAACTTGTAATTTACTGTTTGTGAAAGTATTCACAATTTGAGGATATTCTATTGAGGAAAATACTTAAATACACATAACTTGTGACACTGTAATGCAGTTGATTCTTCTCTCTAATGTTATATAATCTGAATTGTCCATTTACTGCAATATTGTAAACATAGATTAAACATTCATGTTGAACTTTAGAAAGTAATTCAAGAAGTATTTGATAGAAATTACTTTGAAAATGTACGTTACAAAATATTGAATATCAATGGTTGATCAGAGAGTTGTCAAACCAAACCCTATTTGTAATTGGAATTCGTTCAGTAGCACTCATTGAAGTTAAGGAAAGATTAACTGAAGTGCAATGATGTTGATCATTCTAATGCGATACTACTGCATAATTGAAAGCAGAGTGGTGATTGAATAGAGACAAAAACAGCAATTGACGAAAATAATAAGAATGTTGTCTTATGTCATCTTGATTTATCGACTTTACTGAACGATGAGCACTGATGATTGCTGTTAGTTGAAGCGTAAATTTAACGCAAAGGTGAGATGGTAGATAAATATGTGTATCGTATATGTGTATCTGTGTGCGAGATGATGATGTGTCCCCCAAAACAAGACGAGATGCTATCCGGACATTTGCCTTACGGTACACTGCCACTAATGTGAGCATTTCAAATTGTCAGTCACTTATTTCTCTCTCTGTCTCTCTAGAACTGCTTTCTCTCGTTCATTCATTTAACACACCCGATTAACCCCATTAGAAGTTAAACATGACGGTTACTGCCTTAAATAATAATAATATAATACTCTGTTGTCTAATTTCATTAATTCATTCACCTTTAATCCATATTTTAAATCCATTCAAAATCAATTTATCGTATTCACTTTATATACTTCGTGCACTGGATTAATGATCGATACGAGATGTTGATTTGTTTTCAAATGCAGTCCAATCTCGTTAGAAAGAAACTAAATTAGGATGAACGACATCAGTGCAATGATATGGATCATTCAGCAAAAGCGGTGCTAATACTCATGCTAATTTGAACTGCAAATACAAATAACTTACTCTTTTGATAGCCACCTCTTCGTTGACATGACACTTTGTTGCACTTTTATTGGCAATATCATAACCTCAGAAAAGTTCATTTGATGAGTCATATCGTTTTCAAGAATTTATCTTACTGATTGCATTCATTATTTTCGTTTATGTTTAAACCTATCAAATACACATCTGAAAGTTGTGGTTACGCTTTATCCCTTCGAATGAGTTTTCTTCATTAATTTGATAGATGTTGCTAGTGAAAAACAAAATATCTGGTAGTAAAAGTAGCATATTGTGAGTGTTCTTTTATAATAATTAACTTTTTTGTTGATATACTTATAATATATCACAATTCTATCTATTGCCGTTTTAAATCGCATATTTGTTTAGAGCATTGATTATTCTTATTACCATTATTACTATTATTATTATTATTATTATTATTATCATTATTATTGTTATTATTATTATTATTGTTATCATTATTATTGTTATTATTATTATTGTTATCGTTATTATTATTATCATCATTATTATAATTACCAAAATCGTAATCAACGATTATTGCTGCTATTATGATAACTCAGTAAACATAACTGTTAGTATAGTAAGCGTTGAAAAGCTATTAGTGTTAAGTGAAATGTTTCGAAGTGAATGTTTGTAAAATGCGATTTAATCGTATTTGTGAAGATTGGATAACAGCAACAATACTTAGCACATTGAATGCTCTTAAAAGATAAAGAAAGAATTAAGCAGAAAGGATCGAAGAGAGAAGAGAGAACAAGAGAAGTGAATATGATTAGTGGGTGGTATGAAGGATGAGTTGCGATGAAGTAAATCAGCCAATCGAGTTGGTGTTTGGGCGTGGCGATGCATGTTGTTGTTGTAATGAAGAGAACGGTAGTTTTGTGGGTTTGATTGAATAAGTGCAACAGTGGTGATTTGTTGATTACTTCTGGTGCGATTTATATATATCAAATAAAGACTGATATGTCGCTTCCCTATCCATACTGTTTCGGTACAGCTGAACAATTCCGTTCATGTTTATCATCATTACCTACGCCGTCCAGGTAAGCTAATCTTTTTGATTAATCATCTTATTCATTTCATTTCAATACTTCACTTGCTCTCATTATTAAGAACGCAGAGATGATTCTGAATGATGTAAACATTAATTCAATAGAAACAATCAATTCCGTGCGAGTTAACTACAGAAAGATAAAGAATCCGGTGTTTGTATAAATCGATTGCATTTTCTTCATCAAGCACATTTGTTCTTGAAATGTAATGATGGCTGAAAACGGTTGTTTTGAGCACTTTATATGAAAGTTATCCGTTATAAATGTCGTTTAAAACAAAAGCGAATATGTCTTGCGAAGCTAAGATGCTGAATTCACCTCTTCACAGGATTGTCCGCGACTGTATTTTTCAAAATCTCCGACCAGTCTTTTGCGATATGCTTTTATCTGTTGCCAATATTACTGCAATCGGCTTCCCAAAATTCACAAAACTGGCATCACTATTAATGAAAAGTCTGTCTGTATTTCAATCTTAAATTTCTATCAGCCCTTATGTTTTGGAGCAAATAACCTGAAAATAATCTAGAAAAAAAATTGAGGCAATCATTCCTCTTTCTCGTCATTGTTGATACGTTATTCGGATAAAAGTTTGTTTACCTGAACATTTGGGTTGACTGAGGTTTGCAACTTTCAAAAAGTGTTTGATCTGGATTGAATTAATTTGAGTGTATCGTTTTGTATATCCAAGCATCAGGCAAAAGGCTTGGATCATTTCCACTCCTAGCTTATCCTTAGAGCAAGATGATGTAGATTCAGTTCTTGAGTAATCAGTTCGATTTCAGAATACTTCGTTACTAATAAAAAATTATTATAAAATGTTCTTGTGAATAAGCTCATTTCCTGAAGAGAAACATTTATTTTTGACTTTGATAATATCTTCTGATGCACATGATAGAACGATACAAAACTCTAATAACTGAACAAACATCGCACATCACCAACCATCCTCTCGCAGTGGATCTCATAACAATCACCAACTAATCATTTCCCATTTACGCGTAATCTTTTCTCAATACGCATTGTTGAGATAACAACTCGCTGAGAAAGCATAGAAAAACAACTTGAAAGCTAGCATAGAATACACTTGCCTTTATTTATGAAAAAAATCGCAATTATACTGCTGCTTGAAAAGATAGAAATATCTGTCAGTCGATCAGTTCGCAAAAGTATTTGAATGAAATTATTTAACGCTACGCGAGTGGCGATTACGCTAAATGCACAAGTTTCATTTTTATATATTTTTATTCATATCTATTAGACGAGCATGAATTGGATTGATCATTGAGAAATCAGCGAAAATTCTTACGAATTGAGCGGCTGCTGATGTTCAACATTCGATATAAATAACCAAGTGTATTTCGTGAAGCAGCTGTAACTTACGTTAGAATACTTGCGTTAGAATACGTGAAGTATCTGTAACTTTCAATAGTTAGTATACTTCTCTCACTCTCATTTCATGTCATAGTGTGCGTGTGTGTGGCCCTAACACTGAAGACTACGGTATCTATCTCTTTCTAGTATTTTATCAAAATAAGTCTAATTTTGCAATACATTGAAAACCGAATCGCTCACTTGTTCATATTGTACACATAATCGTCCTGTGAGTGTTCGAACAACGATCAGAACTGATCAATGGTTTCGTGTGCAATGTGTCAGCGATATAATATTTTTTGTTAATGCAGCATTGCAAAATCCTTACAAGCAATAACACTAGAATTCGTTTGTAATATAGAATGAAATGTGCAGACAATTTGTAACATCGATTACGACCACTGATCAATTGATGAATATTTCAGCTCAACGTTATCGAATTTTTCAATCGAGAGCATTCTATCTGCTCGAGGATCCGTTCCAGTTTTGCCGTCTTTTCCTCTCGCAATGGATATCATCGGTAGTCCCTGGCAATCACCAACCAATCATTTTTCATTTATACGTAAGCTTTTCTCATCATTACGTACTGCTGAAATAAAAACTCACTGAAAAAACAGTATTCTCGATTCTAAACTCACTGTAATCATCCATCCAAAATCATTGATTCTACATCGGTTAGGCATCATTGAAGGTTACTTGAAAGAAATTGTCACAGTTTCTTTTTTTTGAATAGTTTGTTGATATTTATGATGAAGGAGTGATTGAACGACTTCATCTCGCTTGTGTTAAGAGGATTATTGCATACTGTAATTGGATTAGTTTACGCATTCATCGTTCTGATGTATTCACCTTATAACCGTATTCACTGGAATTAACGAGTCGTTATTGTTGATCTTCATCGACCGCTTTGAAGATAACACTAATTCAATATGACTTTTCAATAAATTCATGATTGACATTATAATCGCTTTCAAATAATATGTATGATAATCAACTAACAAACGATTTCACATGTATGATATTAAAACATTCTATGGAGAACCCTTTTAAAACCTATAGATCAGATCCGCTTCTTATGAATATCGATCATTTTCTAGGCCTCCTTAATCAGACCATTCATGATTAATGGTATGAGCACTTAATATTGATTTGTAACAAACTGTAATGCGTTTCATGAACGTTGCTTGATTTTTTGCTGCATTTTTTAAGGAGATGGTAATTCATACTGTACCTAATTGCTTACTGATGTATTTATGAGGATTTTACATTGTTCAAGCAATATTCACTCATTCTTCAGCGTCTGAACTAACTTAAAAAAGCAAATGTGTGTGATTGTGGATAATCGTGCAACACAAAGCAATCATTTCACATTTCTTATGCGGCTATACACTGCTAATCAGTTCATCTTTAAAATGAGCTTATAAGAAATCCCTCACTCGCGCAACTGAATATTTCTTATTTCAGCACCCGGTTTTCCGTATTTTGGTGGAACTCTACTACCGACATTTAATCCGATGCACTATAACGGTAAACGTAAACGACGTCATCGAACCATTTTCAGTGAAGAACAACTTCAAATCCTTGAGAATGCTTTTCAAGGTACACATTATCCGGACGTGATGTTACGTGAGAAGCTTGCACTACAATGCGATCTTAAAGAGGAAAGAGTTGAGGTAAGAGAGGACAACAAAAGATTTATTTCTTTAACCGTGCACGAAATATTTTTTTGGAAGATTCTCCCATTCATGCTCCCTGGAACTGAGTTATTCAACTGAGAATGGCTGTTCATAGGATAACGCTAATTGCATGCATATGATACGAAGGTAAATCAACGATAGAATTTCGAATTTCTTTTACGTAATAGAATTACGATATATGCACTATGTTTGAGGTTTGGTTCAAAAATCGACGTGCCAAAGATCGGAAACAAAAGCGTGATTTAGACGGTAAAGAAAGCAGTCGAGCAAAAATGGCGGCATCTGATGAGTCGGATTATGACGTCTCGGACGATGAAAGTAGCTCAAAAAGGCGAAAAGTTTCTGTGGATTCAGAAGTGAAAACTGAATCGCCGAACACGCTTAACAGAACTTCGAATGGTTCCATTTGACAGTTCCTATCCATTACTATTGCATCTGAAATGTTTTCTGAGATAAGTTTCTCCTCTATTGTGTGTCCAATTTACACAATCCATGGTTCACTTATGCCAAACCGTTTGTAATTCATCGATCATTTAGTGCAAAGGCAAATGTCTGTCAACATGATGCACTAAACATTTTAAACTGTTTTCTTTTCAAACGGGTTCTTTCGCTGAATGTCTTTTATATCACTTTTGCTTTACGCATTCTCGAGCAAGCAAATACCCTACTTTTCATAGATTCTCGTATTCGAGTGCCATTCCAATTCCAAAATAAGTTTTCATCTTGTTTGATATTCATTCAGTTTTGTACCTTCATAAAAGTGGAATAGGCCAGAACGACGAAGATGAATCCAGTTCATTAATACATCCAGTTAAAGTTCTTGCCTATTCTTTTTTTGTGGTACTGTATTAAAGTATCATCAGTCTAATTGCATTATTTTCAAATGTTTGTAATCTTAATCTCGAAAGGAATGTTATGTCACAATTCAGCAAATTCTTCGAGTTTTATATTTCTTTATGAATTAAATAGTTACATTTTTATTTTTTACCGCCTCTACACTAACTGTTCGTGATGAAATGTTAGCCTGAATTGAATCAATTCCGTTATTCATGGAATCCGTTCAAGCGTTGCAAAATTTGCTGCCGAATTTAAAAGAAAGTTGACTGAAATGCTTGAGAGTTGTTGTTATGTTTTCAAAAGTCCATAATAACTGTTAAAGCAACGGAAAAATGCATCAGTTTTTGCGATAAGTTGAAGATAGAATTACATATGAATGTGATAGTGTGTATTTATCACACACAATGTGCAAATAGCTAATCAGTTATGAATTGTTGTAAATAGTTTATTTGAAGTTGTTTTAAATTGTTGTCTTGTTTTTGTGTTGAAATCAAACTTCTATTTCCATACTTATGCGCATTTGAAAAAAATATTCTATGAAATTCTAAACCAATGAACTACCCCTTTATATTATACCAGGTCTCAACACAAACCTCTTCTTTGTTGCCCAATTCTGATGTGTTTGTTGATAAGATTATGCTATGCGAGGTTTTTTTCATCAGTAAAACTTCTCGTTCATCCAATTGTGTTAACAACACATAATCGTACAGCGAATCAGTGTGTACACTAGTGGAATTCAATTAAGTGACTCAAAATTGATATAATACCTTTTTAAAGAAGTAGATTAAAAATTGAGGCGATGTTTTCAAAATACTCGATATTTTTCGTTGTCTTTAAAACTGTCGAATGAGTGGTGATTAGTTTGAACTGTCCGAAGCCCAAAATATGCTGTTAACGAGAATAGACAGTCAGCTGAGTATGATTATTCTTCCGTATAAGTATATGTGTAAGAATTTTCGATAAATGCGACATCAATAAATACATAGGATGCATTTCACCTTTTCATTTTCTTCATTTTTTTCGAAAAAATATAAACAAATCGATTTGTACAGTGAGTGAGTCGCAGTGTTCACCTGCAACGAGCATTCGGCGATCTCCAATAAGCTTAATCGATATGTGAATTTGAGTAATATATACGATACAGATGAGTTTTCAGTTTTATAAAGTTGCATACAAATGAATGTAATCAGCGTTTCAGTGATTGCAACTTCATATTTTCATTCGATATAATATGAATGCAGATTTATAGAAGTTTTCTGTATAGTGAATGAGCACTTCAATAGAGTGGAATGCAAACTGAAGTCGCTATAGAATTTCTTGTTTACTGCATACCTTTAGTATCATAATACCTTATATCTCAATTTCATCGTGTCTTTGTGAACCAACAACAAACACTCATTAACTATTTAATTCTCTTCTTTTCATTTTCATCTTTTTGATAGCTATTGATGGACGATTTACATTGGTTTATGGTGCATATGTAGTTGATTCTTAATACGTTATTGAGAAGTGCTAATCAGTAGAGTACAATTGCTTGATTTAATGAATTGTTCAGTGATAATTTCGTTGGTTACAAGCACTTTCTGGGTTTGTTTAGCGGCAATTCCAGTTTTGTTGTGGTTCATTAGGCGAATTCACATCATATTAGAACTGTGATTCGGATGAAAAAAAAGAGCAACACATGGTTCTATTCTGAACGTTGCTAAAAGATAACTGCTGAACGTTTGTTGAACGATAGCTACTCGAACAGAAACGCCTTAGCCGATCCGAACTCGATGTAAACAATGAATCTATTGAAATGAGCATAGATATATATGAAATGCATATTGAAATGTGTAATCCTGAATGTTTCATTCAAAAAAGAAGAGCATTCATATTAAGGTGATGATCGATATGCAAATGAAGAAATAATTGATTTTCGGATTTATATATTGTGGATTTTCACACAATTTATCGCATATATTAAGAGTAAACGGTGGATAAGCAGCAAGACTTAACGGTCGATTTGCGTTAAACTTCTTGCTTCTTGAATCGGTCTTCTTTCACCCACTAAACGAGAAATTTAATGAATTGATATTGTCGCTGATCAATTTTGAAACAATCATTCACTCATAATTTTTTCATCGTTTCGATTGGCGAATGATCTGTTTTGTGGAAATCGATCAAAAGTTTAGCGCTCACAATGCATTGCATTCAATCTCACAATGAAACAAGGCAAATTTTGAAAATCTTTTATTTAATGTAAGCTGACTCGTTCAAAGAAAGCTGCACTGTTCTTCAGCTGATGTTGTGAAACAAAAGAATGTTGTTTAGAGAAGATGAATGTTGTGATGCAGTTCGAGTTGACATTCGAAAGTAATATTTCAGTTGCTACATGACATGATTTGTTTGAAATTAATGAAGAAACGTTGTTTCAAATTGTCATCTAAAAATAAGATAATTGATTTGAGGATTTAATGGGTATTTAGTGATCGAAGCATCGCGATTAACAATCGCTGTACGCCCAAAACAAGAAGTGTCACACGAGAAGAAGACTCATTCCCATTTCTATAACATTTTAATTCAATTAGTGACGCTTCATCGCATCGAAACTTTCAAACTGCTCCAAAAACTCCTCATAAACATTCATCAATTCACCACTAAATCTAACAACAAATTTTATCATATTCAATCAAGTTATTTCAAATTCAAACAACCCAATCTCAGCTGCCGTATATTCAAACTGATCAGCAATTATGTTTCTAGCACGTTGAGCTATCATGTTTTCAAGCAATCATTCACAGGGATTCAACGATGCGATTGATTTGGCATATTCTCTTATCATTGCCTCGAAAAATTACTGCCTTCATTTGAACTCGAAAAATATCATCAAAACGAATTTTCACTAAATGTTTATTTACTTCAACTAGATCAGATGAGCAAACACAGCAATTTGCTCAATGAAAGATAGATTAATTCTAAACTCGGTTAAAAACTGCACATAACTTCTATGCATTCTAAAGTACCAAAAGTTGTTATGGATCATTTTTAGGTTTTGCTGATAAGCAAAAGAGTTAGAAATTGAAATAGGGCATTCATCATTTGAACTGTGCTTGGAGATAGATCTGCGTAACTTCAGGTCAGTGCAAGTTAACGGTTTTGAGAAACATTGCCCTAATCAGAAGTAAGAAATTAAGACTTCGATTCCATACACGAGAGTAAATGTGCAATGAGGTGATATTAGATACATAAGCTGTTNGAATAATGTTAATAATGTCACACCAAATGATTTCTGCAGTAGCATTTGATGATAGATGTACGCATTATGTATGAACAAATGTGTGTTTACATAGTTAAGTGATGTGCGAAAGGTGTGATATTAATACACACGTGTTATATGAACACAATCCTCGAAACAAATAAATAAATACCCTCTTGTGTATTTATAAACTCATCTATTTATCATCGTCCGATCCACTTGTGTGTGCAATCCTCAACCCCTTCTGATTAGTTTAGTTATAAGGTCGACGGTTAATGACACCATAACGAAGCATTAGTATTTCACGGCAAAAGCACACCTTTCATTAGCTGCGAACTTCTTCATACTCACTGCATTTTACAAACTTATTTTCAGAGTTCTTCTCCAAAACTTCCGAAGCAGCTACCTCAGTACTGATTAACATCTGAAAATTTATTGTATTGGGCAAAAAGTGAAAAGGAAGTATTTCTCTATTTCTAGACTGAAATTGGATAAAAAACGAGAAGAAAAATATGATGATAATGTTCTGACAAAAATGTTCTGATAATGCTCTGGATACAACAAAATTGGAGAGTTTAATTCAGGATGCATTCACGAAGCACGATAAACTTTGTTCTCCTAAAAAGGTAAACGATATTTGAAGTCATTGGCTGAATTGATTGCAAACAAATTGATTGGCTGAGTTGTTAATGAGTAATTAGATTCAGTTGTCTTTAATATCGTATAACAAGCTTTCGTGCGAAAAGCTCTTCACAATGAAATATCATCAACAGAACGAACACTTGTCTTACACTTTGTTAGCGCGTTACCGTAGTTGGATTATTAGAATCGTATTGAACATATAAGAGGCTTGTCAGCTGAGCATAATCTTAAAGTAAACATTACCTGTGCCTAGAAGAAGAGAAAAGAAGTCAGCTTAACAGTCATTTGGACAAGCGATGCAGTAGCCATATTCATTCACACTGCAAGCAAATTAAGCGTTAAACAATGCAGTTGGTTACTACTTAACAATTCATATGCCTTTTACATGCAAGTCAGTCAATCGAAAATTATCGAGATCAGTATATTCGACATCTTTGAATCAAGAGTCCTTCCAAAGAATTTCCCATGATGAACCTAAATGATTCAGGATGAACACAATTAAAGGCTTCATACGCAGGATGAATAGATCGATAATGAGTTTTTCTTCCTCATGAAATTCCAAGAAGCATTATTGATGAATACTTTTGCGATTGATTTTGTGCTTATTTCTGCTACATTGGGTCAACACAGACTGCGTTTTCCTTATGGAAAAAATTTTACATATACTTTGAAAAAATCTTTGCATATACCAACCAATACAACAATGCAGCTTACTAGTAATATTCTGTAATCAAATGCTCAATCATTACTTATCATAAGCTGATCAGTTTCAAATTAAAGTCTCCTGTTTGTGAAAAGTTAACATTGTACAATGACAATTGTTTTCACAAATAGGAAATTTTAATTTTGTGACAGTGTGAAAGCGATTATGAAGATCAGATTGTTGAAATGACTTGGAAACAAATGAAGATTATAAGGAAACAATAAGAATATAATGAAGAGTTGATTAAAGAGTATTTGTATTGAAGTGAAGTATGACCCCTGCTGAGTGACGCGTTCCATTCATAAAAGCGCTTCTTAGCCGCAGAGATTGTTTAGTGAGTGAGTTATGTTTGTGATACAACGGAAGTTAATCAACTTTTGATGCATTGTTCGTAATATTTGTTCATCACGAGTACCGGTAATGAGGTCAGTATTGCATTGATGAACTGCGATGAGGTGTTTGAATAAATAATGCGTGACGAGCATGAAGAACATCACTGCTATCTTTTACATAATGCTCATCTATTTATGCGATCATCACTTATGTTTTCAGTTCTTATCCTCCAACGCTTATTTCCTACAATACTTGACATCCTAATACGCAACCAAACATGGGAAATGCTCTCCAACAATGCGCTTTGCCCACTCAACAATCATTATCATCCTAAAACTTCAGACATTATTAGTCAAAAAATTGTTGCATTATGAGGCAACTGTTTTTTGTCAACTTAGAGAATCTAGAAAAAACATTCATCTATGTAAGAGATGCAGTGATTAGTGATTCATTTTATGACCCATAATTATCTCAGTTTAGGTATAAAATGAATTGCACGGAAAACTGAAAATGAGTGTAAACTTGGAGTGAAGATCATTCATTCGTGTCGTCCTTTATGCAGCCATATTGTATTGTTTCGCAGATGTTGACTGCAAACAGCAAACTACTGAAGAGTGCAGCTCCACTGCCATCAAGCATTGCCATCACTGCCCTCTGGCAATGTTTGATGGCAGTAGAGCTGTATTCTCAGCTCGATTCTCAATTCATGAAACTTATGATTCAATTCAGTTGCTAATGGAGCCAATGAAATTAATGGCTAAGCTTCTGAAACGTTCTCTTCAACCCAAACACAACCAATAAACACAACCTTCATTGATTAAAAATGTCGTTCAAAAATTCCAGATATTAAACACTTTCTATCGCTGGAGGTTGAATAATCAAGTTTCTTGATTGTATATTGTAAGTTCAAAGAAGGATTCGAAACGCTTTACTGCAAGTGAGCGAACTCTTATGTGATCAATTGCATAAAAAACAAGCCATATGCGATATGTCTTGGTTATTTCGTAGCAGTCCTCAGCCTTATGAACACTACTCACCTAATATTTCTATCATTTTTGACTTTAGATGTATTTTGTTTTCTAATTTTCGTTAACTGAAGTGGTCCTTTTATCCTCTAGTGCAGTGGTTCCCACATTCGGGTGCTCCATTACCCTTTTTGATGATCTAGCACGCCACTGTTGATCCCTTACCCCTGATATAAGAACCTACTATCTCCACACATAACGTCAGGAACAAACGGAAAAGGGGTCCGGAAATTTCTCAGCGGCGTGAAAGAAATTAGTGTCCTAGACCGTTGTGTTGCTCATTACTGCAGTCAACTCTGATTGCATGAAAAGCTATTGTCCACAAGACGCTCACTTCAAACTAATTCAGATGGATTCTCATTCTTTTCGGACGTGTTGTATTCACTCTCATAGCTATTACATGCGAATACCGTTCTCTTCATGACTTTTTCTCATTCACTTCGTCTCATTTCACTTCACAGTTAGAATCAATTTCTCATTCTGTAGCATATACTGTTTATTGGATACGTTGACGAGTGTTAACAGCCGAAATCAACGATACAGCAATCGAATATTATTGCTGAACAACATTCGACAGTCAAATGATCAGTTATAGAGTGTATTTGATAGAATGAGAATTTGACTTTGATTGTTGAGTGAAATGAATGAGAAATTAGCGGAAGAGAACACTTTTGGTGATAAAAGCTATGAGAGTGATTGTAGCACCAAGAAAAAGAATGAAAACCCTGTTAGAACAGTAAAAAATGAACCCAGTTAGGCTCGGACGAGCTAATGATAGATAGAAAATGGGAGAATGAAGAGTGTTGCCATCAAGTAACATCATTTATATATCCAAGTTAAAAAACACCATCACAATGTCATTCTATCGTAACATAACGACTGCACGAGATGTGAATTTCCCGACCTCCTCCATTACCCTTTGACACCTCCAAAATGCCCAAAATGGGTACTTTCACCCGAAAACCACTGCTCTAATGGAAGGAAACTGTGTTCATGAAAAAGTGTTTGAGATCTCTGCAAAAATAGAAGAGAGATCGTTTAATATTTCATCAATCCGGAACTGAAAGTGGTTGGCGACCAGATTTTCTCAGTTGAGTCCTCAGTGAGGAAAGAAGTACAGCCTCAGACCAACGAATTGCAACAGGTTCTAGTGATGGAATTCCAATGGTGCTGAAGGCTGGGTGTGAGGCAAGCTCTTGAAACATCATTCCAGAAATTACATAAAGAAACGATTCTAAGTCTGTGCGGACTTTTCTACTCACTTCTCCATAAAGCTGTGAACATTAAAAACAGCCTCTAAATGAATCGATATTCTAAGTTATCCAGAAAAATCCACACTGCAAAAATTGGATCGATTGGAACGAATTGATGCGATTTTCGGTGATTGCTACGGAGAAGTGTGTTTCGGTTTACGATCAATTCTGGAAACGAACAAACCACTGCAGTGAACTGTGGTCATAAAACGAGATCTTACAAGAATAGGGCGAACGGAATACATCATCTTGATTTTTCATCAATGAATTCGATAAACAGCGAAGATGGTGCCGTGTTGAATGCTGAACTCGTTCCATGATGTCACACCCAACAATGTGTCTCTATAAAAGTTCGTTTGCCGAACGAACCTCAACAAAGCAGTGCCTTGTGGTAAGATCTGTCGTCATATCATATCAGTATTTCCAGTTGCAGTGTCACAGCATGTTTGACCGGTTGTGAATCCACATGAATTTTCAAATTTCATAATAATTTCTATCGTTCAGAATTCTCAATTTCCAAATTTTGTTAGCTGTTACATCATATTTTTAGTGATACAATAGCTGAAAGTTTATGTAAATTTGCGCTTCTCGCTTCGTATAGTGCGTTCATTCGAATAGTTTCAGTTCATCTGCTAGTACCTAATTGCTAGAAGCAATGCAATACACGAATATACTTCTCACAAGCTTGTTGTTCGTTGTGAGCACATGTCACGCTGAAATGATCAGAAATTGTTTCTGCAGTGAAGCTGATTCATGCATAAATCAGTATTACAAAAATTTTATGCCATGCATTGATCATTGTCAGGTATTGTTTTGCACAATTTACAATTCGATATTTCATCATCATTCGACGGTCCTCGTTATGAATTTCTATTATCTGTTCTTATTTATGTTGCTAGAACTTCAATCGCTGTATTTGAAGCGGTTTTTAGAGAGGGCTATATAATTTTATGCTGAAGAAAAAGATCATTTATCCATGAATCATTAGTGATTGAAACGAACTTCATAAACAAAATGAATTTCTCAGAGGAGCAGTTGATGACGTTCATGATTGATATGGTGCATTGAGAAGGAAAGGTTGTTTCAGATAGATGTTACTAACTGAGCTGATAAACGATGACTTTTCAGAATCGTATCGCAGCATTGGGTGCGAATTTTGGCCTGATTCGAAACTGTATCACATCATTTGAACCAAGTGTTCGAAACACAGCTAATTGCGTCTGGCGGATAATGCTTAATCGGAGGGCGTGAGTTAATTCTTCTGAAGATTACTATTTCCTCGTGCAGATGACATCCACAAGTCATGAATTGCTTTCACCTGATGCATTTCATCTCTTTGGATGGATAAAAAGAGATGTTACCAAATTATGTTGCTAGAACTTCAATCGCATGTTACCAAATTCGTCATATAATTTCATCAGCTTAGTTCCGGTTAGAAGAGATGCGCAATCCTTTTAAAACAATTTGCATTCATAAAGCATGTGATCATTCCAGTAGTAATGACACACTGAACTTAGTTAAATGAGACCAATTGAGACACATTCGACCCGACACTAATATTTACGTAAAATATTGCAGTTGTACAAATGGACAAGCGAGAATGGTTGAAAAACATTACGATGCTGGAATGAAGATAGCATTTATGGCAGAGTTGAGAAAAGTTGCGAATAGAGCAGGTGCGATCTTTTGTCGTAGTTCTTGATGGTGTAGTTTGAATGATTGAATTGCATCATTGACTAGTTGGCGAAAATAATGAGGTGCATGCTTTTGTTGTGATAACAACAAAAAATAGCAGTGTACAATAATGATTTGAAATGATGTCATTTGTTGAAATAATATTATTTGTTGCTGTTGGATATTTGCATAAATTTTAGATGAACATTAATCGAATGCGGCTAAAAGTAGAATCTTACAGGAATCACAGCTGAGAGTATGGGTGGTTTAGTTAGTGGAGGTAAAAAAGTGGTGAGTTGCATGCGGAAATGTATGAACAAATCGAGCGGTGGCTGCATGCATGATACAAATACGTGAGTATTTTTGCGACAGTATTCACGAGCGCGATTTTTGGTTCTCTGATTATTTCATTCGTTTACCGTAAAATAAACATTCCCTTTCCAATTCGTCATCTCCACCGAAAACTGTCAATATTATGATTTATGTTTTCTTAAATCTTTTTGTTGTTTATGAGTGATACATTCGCTAAATTGTCAACATGTCCTTAGAATGAATCAGAATTCGGTTGTTCAAACAGTATCACCATGATGAATTGAAACGACCGGCTTCCATTGAATTCCAAAGTTTAAAGAATTTTTTTCAGACCTAAACGTCAATCAGAAGTGCAAATTTCATGTCTTTTTAAATGCTGTTTTCATATTTCTCATATTTTCACGTCAGCTTCACACACATATCTATGCTCATGCTCTTCATGAAGAACACAGATTGAATTCTTTCAAAATATCAGAACAACTACTTTTTTTCGAAATTTTGAACATTTCGAAAATAGGTGATTTTGACGATAAAGTGCTGACTAGTGGATGCCTTATGAATTAGTTACAGCAAAAACTGTACTTGCAGTGAAAAACAGTAGACGTATTCTGGATTGATAAGTATTTTCGAAAGTATCCGAAAATGATTAATCATTGTCATTTCTGACGTCACTAGTACAATGATAAACCAACGAGTGAGAGCGATCGAAACAATTCTTTCAAGATTTTTGCATGAACTGACTTTTCGTATCATTTTGATTTACTGCTATTAATCATTCGTCTTCATTTTGAATGCAGCATTTTTTCGAGTTGTTTTTGTGAAATCTGTCAGCGAAGAATTGATAGTGCACACAAAACAGCCTTGAACAGTGGTCATTCCTTTTCAAATACACGAACAGCGAACCAAACAATGCCAATAACATAAGCAAGCAGTTTGCTCTTCTTCAGATGTCAGTTAATTTTACCGCCGGAGAATGAGTTCATACAAATGATAAAGCAATGTGGAATACAGAATGGCATCGATACAGCCGGATTCCAACGATTCTGCCAATGTGTTGCCGCATCTGGAATTTCGTATGTTTTTTTCATCATTATCTGATTTTACGGAATAAATCAAGATCATATTAAATCAACCAAAATCTCTTTGTGTGTCTATTCAACTGTTATATTTGAGAAGCTAAGGTTGGATCAGGAACCTTGGAGTTCGACGGTCCTCGACCCTACCCCTGCCTTCGAGGATCCCAGAGCTCGAGCTCACCTGACCCAACCCTCTGTGAAAACAGTTCTGACCAACGTGAAACTGTGATTCTTCATTCATTTTTTGAAAAATTCACTAGTTGCCATTCTATTTTACGCTTCCCGTTTGTTCGCATTCTCAATATTTTTCTGCCTTCATCAAATTGTTGTTAAGCAGAGTGTCGGTACCTTCATATCAATTTCAGGCGACTGTTCAATTTTTGTCCGCGTATTCAGATCTATAAGTAAGGAACAACCCAAATAACTCAACGAGTACGCATATGAACCAATGCAACAAATGAACAATTCATTTTGTTTTTAAATAAATATTGTTATTTTTTATTTAAATACATACTGATTTTGTTTTGTATTTGAATATGTGTTGATTACGTTTTGTATTTGGATAAATGAATATTGATTATGAAGTAATAAATATTGATTATCAGTAAAATAAAAAGCACCGTTTCGCACACAAATATTTATCAATCACATTACTCCCATAAATAAGTCCCAATCACTGTGTTTATTTAAAATTAAGCACTGAGACTGTAAGAGCTTTCCTATTGTGACATTAACACTTCGGTTTCATACTCAAAAGAAGTGTAAACTCGATCGATCGTCATAACGAACGTTACATTAAAATTTACATTGGCAGTATGTACAAATGAGATGAATACTTCAAAAATTTGCATATGAATCGGTCGAGTAGGCAATACGATCTTTCAATTGACACTGAAGAAGCGATTGTTCAATTACACCAATTTGTACATCCATTTTCGTTATATCAGATTCTAGTTTTGTCAATGCTTGTTTGATCCGTACCATTGGTGCTGAAAAAGTTTCATTCTTCATTCGTCAAATAAAGTCACTTTCATTCATCGCTTTCCTTGAATTTATAGGCGGAAACATTTCGCTGAATCAAAATTTTTTAACGAATTTTTTTTTTGAAAAGAGACCACAGTAGTGGGAAGCTGGAATCATTTTTAATGAAATATCTTTATGCATGAGATGAATAATTGAGCAAATACCATACTAGTTTGGCGAACACTTGAATTGGGTTAATTTTTTTGTCTTTAAAGTGCAGCGGTGAAAGATAATACAAACCGCCGTCATTGTTGCGTTGTCCTTGTTCATCAATCTGCTCCTTGATCTGTTCGATTTCGTCACTGATCCTTTGAAGATTTTGCGTTCGTTCCGTTATGCCACCACTTGCCTCTCTGGAAGATGGAAACTTTTTTGAGCGTTCACTTTTGCACAATACCAATCATTTCGTTCTTCGGTTATTGCACTCTACGAAAACAACACTTAGTCTTGAAGTTCCACTTACTTGTACTTTTCCTTCGATTCAGCCATCTTATCTTGTGCAGCACGGAGTTGATTCAATAAACTATCCAATTGATTGTTCAGATGTTTCTCACTTAATCAAATTCATTCAGAAGGAATTCAACAAAAATCTATTCATTCAGACTATCAAAGAATCCATCAACTTATCGAGAAATCTGCTCCAATGCAAATGAATGTAGATGTTAAAGTTTCGTTAAGCATTTCAGAGGACGGTGTATCTATCATATGTGCTCAAAATTCAACAACATTCAAATAACGGGCAAAGTTTACGAGAATTGTTATGGAGTTCAGTTTGGGAAAAGTTTTTGAAAAAGGAGGTATTTTTACCGTGTATTGATGCGCTCAAGACTTTTTTCTAGATCCTTCGAGAGATTGTCGATTGACGGCCATGTCTCATTCATCAAATCACTAACACAATTGCGATGCGTTCGCATTTGTTCAAGATGCATTCGCCAATCCTGAAGCAAACTGATTTTCACATGAACGCAATTGATCGTCACAAGTGTAATATAGTGTATGTGGAAACAAGAAAATTTTCACTATTATACAACAACATTTGATTTAAAACAATATGAGCTCCTATCAAATTAGACTTCATATGAAAGTATTTACACCCCCGTGTCTGTATACAAAACGCGCGAGGCTAAAGAAGAAACAATCCCGAACACGATCCGAAATTCTTTCAGTTAACGAACAAAAAACGAAATCAATTCAAAGGAGATAGTAGCAGTATGCGACCTTTGCATCTTGACGTATCGTGATTTTAAGCTGTGGTGCCATCCGTTCTACTTCAAGTTTCCAAGAATTTGAATTTGTTTCGCTGTGAAGTATGCTTTCGATTGGCTGCTCCTGCAAGTAATCAATGCAGAACGTGGAAATCTTTATCTCCTCATACAGAAAGCAATCATTGTAATTATATGGTCAACTGATACTTTCGGTTCATCTGAATCGACTCCTAGGATTGGAGCTGACTGCAGATCCATAAGAATTCCATTGTCATCATCATCAGCAGCTGTCACGTCCAACTCTTCATCGAACTAAAATACGTCACAAATGACGGTCATTTCGAAATTCTACTGAAAACGAATAGAAGGTAACAACGGATGATCATGGAACACGAATTCTCAATGTATGGTTAATTTTAGTTCATCAGCAACTGATATGAAATACTTGTGAGTGTAAAGGGAAGGTGAAAGTGAGGATGTGTGCCCTCCTTTTCTGAAATTGTACAAACAAGGCAGGCGTAACAGATACTATTACTCTGCCCTCTGCAATGTCACGGCTTTCCGCTATCGCAATAATTTTATGTTTGTCATTTACATGTTTATGTACAAACAATGTGAAAAGATTTTTAATGAATGAATGAGCGATAAAAACTGAAGCCAACAGCCAACTTGTTCTGCAGTTATCTCAGCTTCATCAACACCAACATCGATTTCTTCATCATCTTCTGCGACTGGTTCAGCTCTAAAAGCTCAAAATTCAAACAAACTCACTTCTATATACGCCCACAGTCGAAAGTAACATCAAATGAAAAGCTTGTCGCTGATGTTTTTCCCATGCGACAACTGTGAAACTTCAAATAGTGATCTTGAACAAGAAAACAGTAACGCAAGATAGTTATGCGTAGAAATTATGAAAAGAAATGTAGGACTGTTAGCAAGTATGAAAATGATATGTGAAAATTTATCAAACGCTCAGATGAAAACGTCAAGAAAATTATGCCAAAGGTTGTTGAATGAAGAGGAAAAGAAACATGTAAATAACATTAGTAAAAAAACAGAAGTACTTACCTACACCATGTAAATGTTTTAGAAACAAGAGCAAGATCACTCAGCTGATCAAGCACATAAAGGCACTGCTCTCCAGAACCTGATTTCAGTTTATTGGGTGGAAAATCTACGGGTACTTGCTTGTTACGTAATTCGCAAAGTATATTCGATATAGTTGCGTTTGGGTCATCAAACTGAAATAAAACGATGAATAGCATTTTGATTTGGAGGTAAGGAAAAAAGTGCATCCATTGAAAATGATTCAATACAAAATGAATATTCACAAGCTGTTCAACATAAGCACCTCTTGTGGCATCGTGAAATTCGGATTAATTGCTTTTTGCATGAGCCAACCACATAACGTTGTGAATAAATAAAATTGCTCACCGACATTATCGCTTTCAACAAAATAATGCCTATAAGAGCACTTGCAAAAATAAACAATGATGAACTTAACATCCGACTTCTTTAAAGTTCAGAGAAATCGAACATTATAAGAATGATACAATCAATAGTGGTTATGAATTAGCGATGGCATCCGAACGAAATTCAGTTCCGTCGGAATTCGACCGAATCGACTTTTCAACATTCCGACGTTCGGAATTCCGACCGAAATTCATTGGATTTTACCGACCGAACTTTTGTCGGTAAAATCCGCTACAAGTTTCATATCGATCGCGTATGAGGTACACTTAAAGTTGTGCTCAAATGCTGAAATCGTGGAATAAATTGATGAGGGCAATAACGATTATATTTTGATTCGAAAAAATTGATGGATTGGCGATAATAATGCATAAATTTCCATATTTTGCAAGAACAATTTCAGATGGGTTCGAGAAAATTGATGAATAACGGTTACTCATTTGGTGACGTTTAACAAAAGTTGTGCGTTGCAGCAATTGTTCTGGATGACATTGTAGCAAGAGTATAGTTTCGAACCTAGAAATTGGACGATGACTAGATGAAATTGAAACGTATTCTTGTTCGTAATTCAATAGTTTCAATTTGTCGATCAGCTCTTCGTTCATCATATACAGCAAGTACTGAGAGCCAGGACCTCGCACAGCTACGGATGCTTCTTCATCCTTTACCTCCTTTTCCTCTTCATCCATTGATCTGAGAAAAATAAACAAAGCTTTTACCAGTTCATTTTGTGCTACCTTGAATTCTGAACGTGTGATATACCAGTCCATTCAATTATAGACATTCAGAGACTAATTGCAGAGAAAAACATCTGGACACATTAAGAGTTCCCATTTCATATTAATTCAAATGATCCCAAGATCATTTTCGATATATAATCGCCGAATTCAAACAGCAAAAAACTATAACAGTATATCACGTTTTCACGCATTGAATAGCTAATCATCTGCGACGAACACTAAAGAACACAGCACAAGATTTTAACGAGTAGTTATGCGCTAATTATATAACGACTGAATAAAAAGCATACACATTTTGCAGATAAACTTCTCAGCAAATAAACCTTTCAACATCAGTCCACTACTCAGTTGGTGTGTACGCAGCATTTCGTCTGCAATGCACATGTATTAATATTGTGGCTGGTAGTGAATGCAGCAGTTCAGTCACGTTACTACGGCAACTGAGGAAGCTAGAATCGTGTGTAGCTCGCACGTTATTCAGCAATGAAACATTTTGGTTGCTTTGAATAAACGGCCAATTTCGTTAAATAATGTTTTACTAATTTAATAATATTGAATCAGTTTGAACAAATGGAAGTGACGTTCACTTCATCATCTTCTCCCTTGATTATAATAACTTTATGAGGAGCGTTTACAACAAGCGTATTTTCGCTTCAAACATTATGTCTGTTGGGTAATCGATCAGCATTTCGGATAACTCAAACTGGAAAATGATCCCATCGAGATATTTGTAAACAGTGGTGCCTTTTGAATATGTTTGGAACTGGTGAAGGATACTCAGTTTCGGCCGATTGGGCAATCATGGAACTAAAGCCGGAGGCATCCTTAACGAAGACATCGACTATAAATTATTTTGAAAATTCCGGTCAATGAAAGAACCACCCCATCAAGCAATATCTTCACGCTTGCGAAGAATGTAAATTCCGACGAGCTTTTTTTTACAATTTGCCATTTGGCTAATTCTTTCCTGATTTGCGAAACACTCAGTTGATTGAGCACATCACTGATCGGGTCTCTATTCACGTTTTGATCGAAAAATTTCTCAACCCGAATATAATAGCTGTTACCATTACTGTTATTTCTACTATTATTATTACTATCACGACCATCATTCTCGTTGTTAGTACCATTATTATGGTCACTTATTATCACACAATCAAGATTTATTTAATTTGCGAATTTCAATTGATTGCACACAACAAAGACGGTACATATAATATATACAGTAAGCACAGATCAAGAAAAAAATCACAATTATAATTAGTAATATCACCACATCAATTAAGAAATCACAACTCATACCACAATTGCAGAGAATGTGAATGCCGTTGGATGAATATCAAATGTCTCTTCCGTACCTCGCCGTTACACTCCAAACGAAGGATCGATCACACCCGGTGTGCAAATCTAATACTTATGCAGCAAATCGAAAGTGTTCACAGATGACCAACTTTAAACTACATGTTTAGTTATTAAATGCTTATAGCAGCGAGAAAAATCATTTTCTCAACAATCATTTCAAGACTAACGATCACTTCAACTGCACACCGCCGGGCCAAACGACGTCGAAAGTACAAATCGAACCTAACACAAATAAGCAGTAAACTTTTTGAACATTAAAATACGATTGCCGACAACTTTTGACAGGAACGGTTAGTGAAACAGAAAAGTGGATACAGTTGCGTCGAAAAGCCTTTGCTTTTTACGTAGTTTATAACAAACAGCAATATCCCGCCTAGTGCAGTTGGTACATTGCAACAGTTCGGCTACTCACTGACCAATGTTTAGATGAACTAAGTTGCTAAGTGATGTAGGGGAAAGGTATAAAAGCGATGATCAATAGATGTGTATAATTAACACTTAACTAAGCCGAGTAATCGATTCTAAAACATTCTATGCACCATTTACGGTAGTAATTTTTATACACTCATATAAATAATAATAAAAACACGGCTAAAGAGTCAATTAAACGAATCATCAATCGTTATGAAGTGGCGGCGTATTCGTGTTACTCCGGAGAGCGTTATTTTCAGTTGATTTCGATATGAGCATAGCACACAAAATGTTAATCAAATCAACTTCGACGTTCCGTAAGAACACAATTATACGGGATATTGCTGTGTGTCTAAAATGACCATGTGAAAAGGAGAAAGCATTCATAGCAAGTACAATATAGATGTGACGTAATTCACACATGCATTAGTGAGAGCAATATTAATGCAGAAAAGCTGAGAGTGAGACACTGAAGCTGGAACATTCCTGCGGAAGTATCAGTTTTGGTGGCAATGCAAAATGCCGTTTTTGGTGAACAACCATCACCTGCTGATTAATTACGATGTGAATTCCTATGACAAACCAGACACACGTATAAATGGATAAGAAACAGTTAGACTGTATGCGATAAAATCTACGAGTGATGAGTTTGAAATGCAAACATCTCAACTATCTATAGGCCATTCTGTGCTTCGGCTTCAAAACGTTTCTTCAGTTTACACAATTCAGCAAGTCGACGTTCACGATCCACCGAGAATTCAGCCATCTTTGAAGTCGGCATACGGGCATTCATTGTTTCTATGATCGTCGTGCGAGCATTATTTTCCTCGAATGTTGGTGTTCCACCGAAGTCTTTCAACACATTTACCATAGCATTCGCATATCTATTCATATAATCTTCAATTCCTAAACACAACAGATTTTCATTCATCACTGAAAATCACTTATCAAGCACATTGCATTATTTCGACACTTGACAGTTAGCATGAGGAAAAACGGCAAAATGACACAGAATAAACAGCAGATAATATTTGAAATGCGACAAAAATAAGATGTTTGAACATAATCAAATTCTCAAGAAGAATCAACACAATCAGATGGTAACAAAAAGAAATACTGTCCTATGTTCATGACAAAAAAACAAGAACCATTTAGCATTTCATCAGAGATAAAGTACTGTGCAGAACTACTTCAAACTATTGATACCTAAAAGAAGCAATCGTTGAGATAATAATAAAGAAAAACATCGCCTAGAATCAATTGATGAACAAACCGTTTGCATTCATATGCATAATCTCAAGTGGTCCATAGAACGCATAACGCGGACCCAAACCATCTTTCATTACCTGCAGTAAATTACAAAATCGACTAATTTGAGCGAATATATTTGCATTATTGAAACTGAATGAATTCACAGATAAAAAATATGGGTATATTCAAATCCAACTGAAACGTTAACGAGGATGTTGATTGTGAGCAAAAGAAAAGTAATGAAGCTTATAACAATAAAAAAAGAATACAATATCAACATCCTCAGGTGAGAGAATACCCTCGTTAACAAGACGCCATGCTTCTGCGATGATGGCGTATTGTATTCGATTAAGCGCAAAGCCAACCACTTCCCGCTGTAAACGAACCGGTGACTGAAAAGCACTGAGGATATATCATATCATATCATTCACTCAAGAACAGATTGTTAAGTACATCAAGCAAAGAAAAGAACACCTGGCCAATCGTCTTCATGATAGTACAAGTTCTCATAACGGTATCATCCGATGTCCATGGAGAAGGAACAACTTCAACAAGACGAATAAATAATGGAGGATTGATTGGATGAGCAACAATACATTGTGATCTGAAATAAAGTGCTGCTGCTTACTGACAAACAACAGCGATTTGTTTTGTTCAAATTCCATGGAATCAGCTAACTGAACGGTTCATTTGAAACGATCAAATATCAAATTCACTTTGGTGCTGCATAAATGGGAATTTCATCAGTAATCCTCCGATGGATTCATCAAAATGCTCAATTCTTTTGAAAAGGAAATGCTATTAGCTTGTAACTTGACTGTTTGCTAATACTTTAGACCAGGGTAGCGGTTAAAAAATATACAGAAGTTGGTAGATCTTCAAAGGATGGACGAAGTGCCTATGGGGATTAAAATTGACACTGAAAAAGCAATAAACGTAAAAGCTGAATGGACACCTTCTTTTCAACCGTTCAGTGAAACGAGATGCCGGAATCGTTGAAGTGCTACTTGCGAGGATTATATCTTCACTAGCCAATTCATCTAGCTTACTGAACAGTTCTGCCTTCGATTTCTCACACTCTACCGTTGACTCCTGAAATGGAATAAATTAATGATACAAAATTTTATCGGGCTGCTCAATTCTAACGCTTCAAGCATCAAATTGATTTTACTTCAGTGATGGACTGCTACTTAAGTGCTTTATGGCAGTGAGCCCAATAAACTTCAGACTTACGGCATGCATAAAAACCTTGTTTGTGTCGTGCCAGGCAATACTTAAGCAGTAATTTTTCCTGAAGTAAAATCAATTAGATATTCAGAGCGAACAAGACGAAAATCAGATATCGCTAAAAATAGACATAATCGCACATAACAAGTTATAAGACTGCGAAACTATCGTCTGACAATTCTATTCCTCGATATTATCATTTGGAAAGCACGAAAACATTTCCGCCGACATAGTAGGACCTCTCCAGTTTTCACAACAACCTTTGATGAAAGTTGTTGGATGCTTACAGCACTTACTAACAATTTCCACTTTAAAAACAGGATCTTAGAACTGGATTAATGAAAATTCAACCATCTTCACCTGACAATAAATCGATCCATCAAGACATTTACGAAGATCTAGCGTTGAGGTTATATTTCTGAATTGCTCGGATGCTGTTCCTGGTCCACGTGATAAGTCGTCAATCTGTATCAAACTTCTATCTAACTACACAAAACGTACTTTTTAATAAATGTTTTTTTTGGAAAATTCAACGAAAGAAATCAATTCACAGTTTGCATTCCAATTATGTGAACAAATCAAAGAACTCACTGCAAGTAAACGTAATTTCTTCTCAATATTCTTTTTCGCCACCTCAATTCGTTCCTCATCAATGTCATACAAACATACTTTATATCCGGCACTTGCGAACAATGTGGCCCAATATGAACCGATCACTCCACTGAACATCGTTATTACAAACATTCAAAGAAATTGCTATAAGAGGACTGAATTTTCGGTTTCACTAGGTTCATTTGCTGCATACCACGTAGAAAAGCAGTGATCAATATTATCTTTTAAATGTGACTAATCAAGTTGAGTTATCATCTGATGATTCAGTTTTTCTCGACTCTTTGAAGTACTATAGCGAATTTCCACTTTAGATGATTTAAGAGGCAACAATAATCTTTTGAAATATTCAGTCAATAACAATATCAAATTAACCAACTGCCTCATGTGAATAATTACATATAACACTTTAACAAATTGATCAATCCACGGTTTAGGTTAAATTCACTCTTTCGGCAATGTTTATAAGAAGTTGTACATCGTAACAGTATTCGATGCAGAACTAACGATAAATTATGATATGATACGAAAAAGAAAGTGGAAAATTGGTCACTCACCATCCAACAATCGATATTCTTCCCTTCGAGGCTCCTTCATCCATTGTTTCTAAAAGAATTTACAAATTTGTTGAATTCTGCACGCCTTAAACGAAAAAAAAACAAAACAAATTCTAACGAACGATTTTCACAAATTAATAAAAATGTGAAAGAGACTCTGAAACAATTATTAGGTTAACATTTAGACTTCATCGCTAAAATCTTAAGCACTAAGCCTCAGTTCTGTTTATAACATATCAAATTTAAACGCGTCAATCGTACAACCTATTTCACCCAATTATTTGCAACATTTTCTAATACACTAGAGTTAGATTTGACTTTAGATCATGTTCGGTCAAGAAAAATCCTGAAGTAAACTACAACAACGCATGAATGGTCAGCAGTTAGAATCAAGCCAATTAAACAACATAAATGAGAGTCACTGAAATGAAATGTTTTGTTCGCGTATTTCAATGAAAAAAACAAATGAAAAACAATTTTTAACGGCAATTTTCGTGGAAATGAAATGCCATTGAGCATTGAATATGTGGCTGTCTTGACACCAAAATTCAATTTCGTCACTCAACTGATGTTTCAGCGTTTAGCATCATCACTGGGATTGTATATATTGACGGTAATACAATCCGTACAGTTGTTTCATAGAAACACAAAGTTCATCGAAAATTCTGTATCAACTCATTGACACATTAATGTGGGATATGGGCAAACAACGCAAGTGTCAATAAAACGATGCGTTCTAGTTTAGACGAACACCAACGGTTGGTTCCTCGACGAATACAAAGCACTCAACAGAAAATCAATGCTCCATTTACGAACGAACATAAATGTGCACGTGAGAACGGGTGAGGCAAACACGACACTACCGCAAACCATTATAATAAAACATCGCTATCAGAAACTTCATCACAAATTAGTTGATTGTTGAGAATCGCCATCGAAATGACTGATAGTATCAACTGACAGCAATAATTATTGTTAAATGGTATGAAGAGTGTGTACCGTAGCTCTCCATCCTGTTTTACGTCCTCGGATGCTGCTAACCGTACTTAAACATTTAAGGCTTACACTTAGCCTCTGTGCCAAGGCAAATATGTCAGTGAACAGGACCGCTCGGGTGCAGTCTAACCTCATCTGTTCGAATCTGACTCAGGCTTATGATCAGGCTTACTTTTACCTTTAACCTTACGTTTAGGCTTACGGGAGATTATGCTGCATTCAGGTGATTTGTGCAGGTTGTCGAAAACAACTGTTTGCACCCGTAATCTTTTGGTGAGGTTGTTTACGAAAGGGGTAGAGCCTCAGCCCCGCTTCAATATGAACTGAGGAAGGATTCCAACTTCAGCTTGAGTCTCAAGCTAATCACTATAGTGAATCTAAGCCGAGGGTAAAGGTAAGTCTCATTTTGACTTTAACGTGTAGCCCTGCTCATTTTAGCGAACACTCCAGCAATAAGATTACACTTGCACCTTCAAGAATTTCGAGACAATCCGCATCAAAAGCAGGGGTGTGGCTTTATCGCATGTAAAACGTCGTTGTAAGATAGGACTTTTTGAAATTCTCTGTTCCTATGCAATCCCCTTCAGCATGTAATGTTTCAGAACGAAACTTCTCTTCCTGATTGAATATAATTACTTGGAGTTCGGCCACGATCTCAGGATGAACCTCAGCCCTAGTCCAAGCATCAACCTCAGTCTAGGCCCAGTACTGTATTTATGGTATTCATCATTGTTTGGTTGTGAAATGTGATATTGATGATAACAGAAAGGCATAAACTCAATGAGTAGTAATTGCCGATTTTAAAAATGGATATGATACAATTTTGTTTTGAGTTGATGTTTTCATCTTATTGAGCATTTCTTTTACTGCTTTCCATCACTATTATTGTCAGTATCATCGCTGCTATCCACGTTGTTATCACCAGTTACATGAGCATGGGCTGCAATGATTTTTTTAACTGAGTGATTAAAACATTACTTTAAAACCATGAAACAGGGATAAAGACGCAAAATTATCTTTGTTTATAACAAGGTATAAGAAATTGCAACTGTTTACAGTTTTGTTTCATTGCATAAAACGGGATTAAGGATGAAACTGCGTTGCAGAGAAGAAACAAGACGGTGACTACTGGTGTCGACAATGCGACGAATAATAACGATATACCGGAAGCACTTTTACCGCTTTAACATGATAATCTTGCACGAAAACGAAACGGGGCAAGATATGAAATATGATCGAAATAACGACTGATACAGTCAGGAATCGAAGGAATAAAATTTCAACGAATTTATAAATCGGACTGATAATAAGAGTGCGCGATGTTGTGTAGAGAATATGGATGATATTTGCAAAGTATTCTGTCATATTGTACACATATATCTCCTCGGTCTGCTTTCTTGTGCAACGGAATCGTTTTGGAATCTGTGAAATTGTTGCCAATTGATCGATCAATTGGCAACAGCTTACACTTCAACCATAAGTTCGTATTTTAGTATTTGTCAGCGTTACAGCATCTCCATGTTGGGAAAAATAAGTGTTCTCATGCAGACGAAGAGTAACGAGTTGGCGAACGTTCGAAAAAAGGTGCTCGTTAAGACACTGACGAAAGAAAATAGCGCAACTTAACGCTGCTCAGTGTATCTAGAAAGTTACTACAGCCGAAGTTATCACTAACAATTTCCACCGTATAAAAACAGCAGCGAGCCACCACACTACCGAGAAAACTTAGATCCACTATTAGCGGAATAGCGAGCAGCTGGCTACCGTTCACCACCACAAGTTTCTATAGTATTTAATTTGGTCTATTCCATGGTTACAAGTAATTTAGTCTATTCAGTGGTTATGTAAAGTTTTGAAGATGAGTGAAGCATTAGTAGAGTGTACTTTGAAAATTTTGATGTTGAGCGAAGTATCTTTACAAAAATATTTGCGATATAAAGCATAGCCAAAGTACACTCCCGAAAATTTTTGCAATGTGAAGTGAAACTTAAAAATTTTTGGTGTATTCACGGCAGCATTAATTTCTGCAGAAACAGTTAAATACGCCCTCGATTCAAGCCTAACACGACCACCCATATGGCAGAATCAATCGACTGTGTTGGTTCACAGCACGAAATTGATGAGAACGGATTAAGTGCTAGTGAAGAACTTGAAAAGAGGAACGTTTGTCTGAATCCGTGATGCTAACTGATGACAAAGACAAACCAATTCGAGAATTTTCGAACCTCATGATGAATATTCAATAGACTGACGGCTAAATGAAGAAATTAATACAGAAATATGCTGCATGGTTGCTGATCGTCTTAAACCATATCACCTATGAAACATTCTCCTCAAAAAATCATAACAAATATATACAATTTAAAGAATTCGATTTGTGAAATTGAGAATCTATGTAATACTTTAACTAGAAACGCATCGTGGAAACGATAGTTATCGTATAAAAGTCATAGATATCGTACGATCATCGAACACAAGTTTTATATCGCGTTTCAATCGACAATTCCACATGCAAATTGAAACCGTATAACGCAATAATTTCAACCAAACAATTTCACCATAAAGTAAGCTTCATTCCCTTTTCAACATTTGACTTTTTAATAACGATCAATCGAGTTATTATGCGGAATTCTTTCTCCTTCTCAAGCATTCAGTTTTGTTGGCCGTTAGGATAAGAAAAGAAATCCAAAGCGTCCAAAATCCGACCCAAAGACGAAACGAAAGGCTTGATTTGATGAAGAATATATTTCCAGTTATTAGAACACACTTGAACAGATGAGAAAACAAATCAAAAATATTGACAACAGTAATCGAAATTATTACTTTCATAATTCGTCACATAAAAACACTGGGAAGCATGACGGAAAACAGAGGATATGGTCCCATAAAGTAACATCACTTCAATGAATTTCGGGTTGTAACCGGAGAATGATCAACATGAGACATCCGACTGGATATCATCATTTTCTTGCCAGTATCATTAATGATCTCATCTGATGGATTGAAAATATAAATGATCGATCTACAATTTCAAGCAAATCGAAAAATTTGGACAGTTCATTATTGGAGATCATTTATCCCTTATAAAATACCTCAATAATTCAGTACATCAAATTATAGGTGGTTATCGTATTTGATTTCAGTCACTTCCATTCAGCTGAATCGACCTTGTTTTGAACATAATTTGAACTCAGCGCTTTTATCAACATAGATTAGTTCCAGGACAGAGTTATCACAGCTAAGAAGCTGACGGGTCGATCTTTTCTTAAACTAGATTATCACAAAACAAATGAAACGAAAAACAACCAATTATATTCGGAATTAACCAAGAACCTTATCACACTTAAGCAAACGCATAATAAAACTATTATGAAGCACATGGAAAAAAAGAAAACTCCAAGAAGATGGTACAGAAAACAATGACCAGAATTATTCTATGATAAACAAACAACATTTGAGGGTTGATTTCTTGTCGAGGCCAACAGATTGCTGTTTCAAATAACAACTGTCCAATGAAACAATGAACTCGAATCTTCACGATAATTTGATCAGTGCCAAGTTCCATTATCATACTCCAATATTTTCATACAGAAGGTTTGCCTTACAGACCGAACTATCAATATTTTATTCGCCGCGATGTGTACCGAATGGCATCAAGTGAATGAACGAACACACATGATAAATAATGATCACATTGTATTGAAACATGAAACTAATTCATATTGACAGGCACAGGATTATCAGGGATAAGGGACGTAAAAAAGGATGTGATAAACGTGTAACAAGTTGACCAGAAGATAGTCCACGCGGTTGGCTCACGATTTTCGTTGCTCTCTGAACCTGCATTAGAACTAGTTCCCATTCCAGAATCCCGTGGAGTTGTTTCATTTTCCACTTCATCTACCTTAAAATCACATTCACTTATATCAACACGTTCACAATTTTAACATGTCGTTTCTAGTTGATAACATCATTGTTACTAAAGCGCCAGAAGCAAGCAGTATCAGTTCAAAGATGGTTGCAGAGTTCAGATATTGTATGTCGAATAAAGAACCCACAAGATATGCGTTAAAGAGAGAAACACAATGTTATGCACAACGAGTAGAATGTGCAAAAACAATAAACAAGAGAAATGAAGCAGCAAAACCTGTTGTGCACGGCGTACATTGTTAACAGCATGTACCAGTTCACGATCAGCTCGTTGTCTGTTGTTTCGATCACGTCTCGCTTGCACAAACCAGACGAGTATGATGAACAGAAGCACACCCAAGAAACGTTCGGCTGATGAGTAAACATAGACGAGCATTACCAAAAAGCATATTCGGATTGCCTAGAATTGGCATCAGTGAATGTTATTGCTTAAACTTGGAAAATAATTAAAATGTCACGCGAATAATGGCGGCTTAATTGAGGATAAAAATTATTGAACATGTAACTAGGACGAAATAAATAACTAAACCTTGTGAACTATATCAAGAAAATCCCTTTGAGGTGCTTCAATCTCGCCGGCAACTGCTTCCTGTACGATGCCTCCAGCTGGAGCTGCTGCAGGTGCAGCAACTACGTCTGCTGCCACTCGGTCAGCTGGCTAATCACATAAATTATACAGAACATCAAAAATGTATTTACACATTTTATCATTGAATAAAGACATCTCTAAATAAATCTTCGTCAGTAATAATAACAATTGATGCGCAACTATCAGTCAATTTATTATTCCGTTTATCAATCAAAAACTTCTCTCTTGCGCAAATCTCAATAATGGATCTACCTGAACAGGTTGTGTTACTGGCGCAGTTGTGGGAAATGAGAAATGCGGAGCCACATATGAGTGTGTGTTAGCAACGAATGGCGCATTGCTACCGTTCATAGCGGTCATCATCTGTTGCATACTGAAAGTTCATGAATAATGGGTGAGGCTTGCGGACAGATCATAATCCCTGGTGCATGTCAACTGATTCAATCGCACGAATAAGTATCGATTCCATCAAATTTGTTGCAAATGCTACTCCTAATTGTGCCAAAACGACGATATCACATAGAACAGACCGAAATGGGACGTAAAATAATAAAAATGGAAGAAGAATAACCGGTGAAACATTTGAAAATCTTACTAATTGGTGTAATACATAGCGTAGGCATTGTAGGCACTATGCAACTGAGCGTTAGAATCAGCGCCATACTGAGATACTGGGAATGAAACGCCGTAGTTTCGTGCAGCAGCAAAATTTGGCCAACCAGTAGCAGCTGAATTAGGAGCGTTGGCCGAAGATGTGGGATGTGTTGGAGCAGATGGTAACATATCAGTTGAGTTTCGTTCATTTTGACTAAATTTAACAAGTACAATACACAAGCAAAGTGATATGAGTAGAGCCAGATCCAATCATATGATATGCATTATTTGCAATAATGGCTTCAACTTGTATGTATTAACTGCATGCAGTCATCCACATCGGTCCAACACGACGTTTCTGCGTCGGTTATTTATGCTTAGAATTACTTTTCCTCTTTTCATTTCTCATCATCACCCGACGTAGAAATTTCGTATGATCATCAGTGAGGGATAATTCGTTTGAGAAAACAGAAAATAATCAGATCAACAAAATAATTCGCGAGCTGCCAAAGAAAACGAATCGGATCACTAAATAAAACGATGAACTAATGAATCGTCCAACTAACTCTTTCTTTTCCTTCACATTTCGCCTTCTAAGACCATCAAATTCTGCAAGGTCACGGCACGGGCACACTAAATGAATTACCCGTATGTCATTATCACTTTCCACCACACGATTTTCAAAAACCGATCGTAACGTTTTGTCATCTTGAAGACAATGACCTGCATAAATCAGGCGTTGCCGATCTGCCTCCTGAACAAAAAGAAAAAAGTCGTAGAAAACGAATGCATCGAACTTCAAAATCTGCATCAAACAATGCTGATGACTAATGGGCAGCGCACGATAGTTGTAATTTGTCGATAAGCAATCTGGTAACAAGATGCTTTTGTTTTGAAGAAGTAATCATAAATGTTACTATTCGCGTCATTAGGATGTGATTCTGTCAGAAGTAAACAATAACTCTAAGAAACAAGACTGAATAAATTCGCATACTTAGCAATCAACTCCGAATGTGCAATAGCACAAACGACTAACCGGCTTAGAAGAGCACACAACGGCAAGTTTCTCTTTCAGCTGACGAACGGTCCAGTTGATTGGACACGTAACAGAAGTGTCTTCGAATGACTGCATTGCACAACGAATCAGTAAAGCAATCATCTCGCCTTCGTTTGAATCTCCTTCCTTACCCATCGTCTCTGATTAAACTTCAATTTTATTTCGTGAAATTTTATTCAACTCAGTAATAACAACCAACAACGATCAGCAATACAAGCAATATCAAAACATCATCTGAACAATTGCACTACTTCCTTCAAATCATCCAAAAACAACGAATAGACCACCACAATCACCAGCACAAGCAGCTGTTTGTCACACACTTCCAACGCACCTCGTCCGCTCGCATCGACATTCCTCTGCAGCATAACGATGACGTCACAACAACCATATTAAACGTCTCAATAGTTCTAAAACGACTTTGAAGTACCGTACGTGCTTGAATAATTCTCATAGAACGATGAGAGGAAGTAAGCGATGGCATTCTTCGAAAACGGGCTGAAACAGAACAGAGCGTTCGTTCACGGCTGATTGTTCGTGTTGCTGAAGTCGTCTCGGGACGCGGTACATTCACGTTCAGCAATAGTAATTGATTATTGTTATTATTATTTAAGCACGTCCAATATTTGAATAACAGAAAATATTATTGTTATCATTCAAAAGAACGATCGAATGCTATACCACAAAGGAAAGGAAATCAGCTCATGAACGAAATATCCATGCTCGTGATAATAAATCATTGGTTAACCAAGCTGATGAAAAGTTAGTTATAACCGTAATGAGTTCAAATGCAGCATTTATGAAATAAAGCAATAAAAGTTTCATTTTGTGGTTGTTGATTCTGAGGAAATGTGGCCAACTGTAATTATCATGTGGAAATGAACGAAATAATCTTTCTGACGAGGATTCGACTACAATCATCAATTATTCTTACATGCATTTTTGGCATCGAGTAAAAGGCATAACACATACATGTTCGAAGAAGAAGTCCACTGAGATAAGCAGCGATTGTCACGTTTTGAAACAGTGTGAAAAGGCCAAGCATTGGCCCAAATTCTTGCAAAACATAACGATAAGATATTGCTTTTTCCATCAGTACTAAAATTAATGAATTCTCAGGCTAACTTTTGAAACGGATATGATGCAGTGCTACTCTGTTCACCAGTTAAGTGAGATAATATCCCATCGGTATAGCTTGTTATCATGAGCATCATCGAACGAGAATGAGTCTACATCAACAGTCTCCTGCAAGCAGCAGATTACTCTCAATGTGTTGTGAATTACTTTCTTTGTTCCTAGAGGGATAAATTAGTTGAGGTTTTGTGATGATATTGTAATGTAACTGGCTTGTGGCAATGAATGTCACTAAAGAAAACTCAATTAGAAATTAAATTACAATGCGTCACAAAGTTACTGATGGTTGAGTGGAGGATATACGGTAATGCAGGCGACTATAGTCTGGCATCTACTGCATTGCGCACTACGAACAAACACTCGTTTCTATCTCAACCATTTTCGAAGACTCCTCTCACAATTGTACACGATACGAAATGTTCGCTTAAACCTCGTAAGGAATCGTCATCGTAATCTTCAAGAAAGATTTATCAAAGAAACGGTTAATTCCATCTAATTGAAAAGTTGTTGTTGAGCGTGGTGGATAGACTTTAACCGTGTCACGTGCGGCATTCTCATTTAAGGTTCTCGTTTTGTTCATTCGTGTCATTCAGGGTTGCTAAAGTCTTCATTGCATGACATTCGTCTTCTTCAATGCCTTTTTGATTATGCCAGTCTTATATGTCTTCACACGACTAAGTAGTAACGTGCAGTGTGCCTGGATTAGGTGTTTCATGGCGTATTAAATCCCATGTTGCCGTAGATCAACGATTGTAATTTTATGTTAGCTCACTGAAGATTTCAGATTGTCGTTTTCGTCAGATACTTTTTGTATGAAATATCTTTTTCTTATAAGCAGTGGTGATTCATTCTTCATAGTTGTTTGTTGTTGCCTCAGTTCATCTGTGCATTCCATTTGCGTTTTCGATAAAGTCGTAATTCATGGCTTTTGTGGTTGTTCGATTTTCATTAAGGTTCTGTTAATGCGCCGAATTAATTTATCGTTTGTCATTTCATTTTTATTTGTATTCTCGGTATAGATGTCGGATTTTGGAAATTGGTACCAGAGTGTACCAGAAATAACACGATATTGGCTCACGGGTGCAGCCGTTTTGCCATTATTGGGCCGGTTTGGATTGCTTAGTCCATATTATATGCTACTTGAATGGCATCTTTTCTTCTACAAATTTCAGGTTAGCAACTGTTATTTCACACTTTAAAAATGGATAGTTACAATGAAATAGTTAGGATGAACTGAAATTACTGTTGTATAATGCTTGAATGAGTTCGATAAATTTCAGATATGGCGTCCTTTGACCGCCCTTTTTTACTATCCTCTATCTCCACAAACAGGATTTCATTGGTTACTGATGCTTTATTTTCTGTACAGCTACTCGAAAGGTACAGAAACTGGAGTATTTGACGGTCGACCCGCTGATTACTTATTTATGCTTATTTTTAATTGGATCGTGTGTACTGTAAGTTTTGGTCTGTCTTGTTTAAGATTTTATTTTCTATTCGAGAAATATGTTGCAGTGTTTGAAGAATACTGAAAGAGATTAGTTGTGCTGTGCCTGACGACTTACCTCCGCTGGAAACGAATATTTTTTACAGATTATCTGTATGGCTGCAGGTGTATATTTCTTGCTGGAGCCAATGGTATTGAGTGTTCTTTACGTTTGGTGTAAGTTCAATCAGGATGAAATTATTCAATTTTGGTTCGGCACGCAGTTCAAAGCCATGTATTTACCATGGATATTGGTCGCGTTTAACATGATAATACGTGGTGGTGGTATGCATGAGTTGATTGGTATATTAGCTGGTCACTCATATTACTTAGTTATGTTCCAGTTCCCTCAAGATTACGGACTACCTTTATTCTTGAGAACTCCACAAATTTTGTAAGTTGTACGATGTGTTTTTAAGATAATTTTTCTCCGTAACCAAAGTTTCCATCTTTTTTGAAAACGAAAGTCGAGTCTACCATAGACGCATTTTAAATATAATATAACTATGTGTTATTCTAATCTCAAGCGAAGACATCAATCCTTGTGTGTATCCATGTAAAGAATTCCTTGATTCTACTCTTGCAGATACAAGTGGTTTCCAAACAGAATTGGCAACGTTTATGAATTCGGTAGAGCTCGATCGAACAGAAGACCGGCTGCGGGTGATGGCCAGGGACATAATTGGGGTCAAGGACGCCCGTTGGGTGGACCTCAATAAACTGTTCACACTGGCTAGATGCTTTTTTGTGTAAATTTTGGCGTTTTCTGATGTATATGAATGAATATAATTCATTTCAAAAGGTTCGTTTTGATGTGATTCAAGCTAAAATTCAGATTTAAGCTTTGGAACTGATTTTGTGGGTCAGTTCCAAAGCTGAATATTTTAGCGTTGTCTTTGGTAGATGCGATACAGACACTTTGGGAACCTTGGCGAACGCGCATCATTTATCGATTGTATCTATCATTCCGTGCATTAAGTTATCTCAAAAACTGCTGTTCCCGCATATTCTTTCGTTTCCTCTAGTGCCGTAAAGCTTAGGAACTTCGAAATTATCAAGCCAATTCTGTGGTGAATTCAAAAATTGTATGAATATGAATCGGTTACTGTATGTTCGATTCGATATATTTTGATCACAGTTCATTCGACAACATCATGAATTATTTTCATTATTAACAGTTGCTGTCAAATTCGTAACGCTCTCATAAGGTGCATTTTAGATTTGTTAGATTCCAGTTTGACACGAGGTGTCGTAGCAGATGGGCTTAGGCAGGCCAATGTTCCTGTAGCAGAAGAACGAGAAATGGTTTCAAATGAGTTTCAGTAGAAGGCTGTACTTTGACTGTGCACATATTTTACCTTACCATTAGAAATGAAATGCGAACTTTGAGAAAATAGTTGAACTTCAAAATGCCATCCTGAATGTTTTCTCAGATAGTGTTTACGGTAATTAGTTATTTTTTTATCACGTAATACATTCAGCAGCTGCGCAGTTCATTGTAAGTTGTGTGATGAATCGCTTTGTGATCAAAATTCTTTTGCAGTGTTTCAACAGTGGTTTGTGGTTGATTCACATGCAATATTGTTGCATTATTCTAACGGCACTCCCTAGACGAGAATAGTGTTGTTCGTGAATGATCGTTTCTACTATGCTTCATATCACTCTGTTATGACTCAAAACTCTCATGCTTGATTGCGTCTAGAAAGGTGTTTCTCTCGCTTGATTGCAATGAGCCCTTTATTTGGAAATAATTGGTTATTAATGGTTAACAGTTGAAGATCTATGAAACTAGCATTTTATGAATTTATATCTCACTATCTTTGAAAATTAAGAATATTTATTTTTGTATTGGTGATTGAGCTTGTTCTGACTTATTCCACTCTTCCAATCATCTTTCGACGAATAAAATCAACTCATAATGTTTAGGAAGTCATTGATTTTTTAAATGTTCTTGATAGGAGAATGAGATGATTGATATATTTGTGCTGTTACAAAGTGGGTCTTTATTATTGGATAAATGGGTATTAAGTGGTTTTTGAGTGATGGTTGCCGAGCAGCATCATTGTGATTTTATTGGATTCTCGAAAATTATTTATTTTATCGCGTTGTTTCAGTTACCTATTGATTTTTTCGTTTTTTATGGTACTGCAAATAAATGTTAAAAAATATCTTCCTCGTCAGTTTCAATTTGATTTTGAATTGAATGCGTTCGTTTCGCAAGTAATATTGAATTATTCTATATATCTCATTTAGATCTATTAGATTTGTGTATTTTAATAAATAATTTTTATGCACTTGTGATCATAAATAATCTATCGACGAAAATCGATGCATTCAAATTTATTATGGTAAATATTCAGTGTTTTTGGTTGAGCTGTTTTATCGTTGAGTGATAGAAATCATGTGTGTGAGCAGCGTTGTTTGAATGTCATGTTTGTAAATATTGTTTCGTTTAGGTAGTTTTTGATAAATTCCCATCGGCAATTATGCAGAACGACGTTGGTGATGTTGTCGAGTTGTACGTTCCCCGTAAATGGTATTCATTTGAACTGTTGATGTTAATAGATCAGGTTCATTTGACTTGAGAGAAAACGATGATGCTTTGCTTCAGTTCGTCTTCGTCGCGCATAATCGCAGCAACCGATCATGCAGCAGTTCAGATCGATTTTGCTGATGTCGATCCGAACACAGGACGTATGGTTCCGGGCAAAGTGACGCGTTATGCGATTTGTGGTGAAATTAGACGTATGGTGGGGTTATTATTCATTTAAAGGAATTCATTGAGTTGTCCGAAACAATAGAATAGGTGACGCCGATATGGATGTAGGTAACTTGAGTATGAATACTTGTAGTTTTGATACGTTTCAAATTTTTTTATCAGTTGGAAAGCTTTTGCTGATGCTATGGACGTTTAAATGTGTAAGTTTTCAGGGCGAATCAGATGATTGCATCCTTCGTTTAGCTCAACGCGATGGTATTGTGCCGAGTAACGCTTGAAAATGATTGATTACAAGTGATCGTCGAATTTGTTTTGTTGTTGTTGTTTGAGAAATCTGATAAATTGTTTCGCAGTATTAAGCATAAACGTTTGAGAAATCACAGTTTGATTGTGGATAGAGTGCAATTGCATCTTATAAACTTATTGTCCCTCCAATGCACCGATCTTTATTTCCTGTAACACGCAACCCGAACACACTCGAATGAAACGAGTGGCTAATGAAAAATTGTACACGTGCAAATGATACAGTCATTGATAAAGTTTGAAGATAATGCTGGGATTATTCAAGTAAAAAGTTCGTTGACTATGTGACATGAGTGAATTTGAACAACATTATGCAGAGTCCCGTATGTGAACTGGAAATGTCCCGGGTTTTTATAAGCGAACTTTGTGTGCAGTCGAAATGGACACTATTTCATAATTAGAGGACTGAGGAAGAAAGTAGCAAGTCATGCGCCAGCTAAGGATTATTATTAGCAGTCTCTTGAAGATTATTATTGTCGTTAACAGGTTTCTCTGATGTGATGACAGCTTGCAGCTGGTTTTATGCTGATGGACCGGTTCATAAGAACAAGCACACTACATCTTCGCAAACGATATTTGCTATTTAGTGAAAAGTAAGACGTTGACGGTAATACGAGTACCGTGAACGTCTGGATTTATGGTACTGAACGAAGGGCTGGTGCAAATCTTTTAGCCATCCTGCAGGAATTCAGCGATGGTGGCAATGAAGCAATCTTAGCAATAGCGATTGCCAAATGCTCTAGAAACTCACAATCAGATGATAACCGCAATTAAGAACGCGCCCATACAACTTGCTTTTGTCATTGAGTTATTCGCAATGTAAATAATCGTTAAGAGTTAATGCAAACAACAGTATGACTAGTGTTTGCGAAGTTCTGACCATATCGTATTTCTTAACTTGTTCATGTAATCAATAACTACAATTTTTAAAATAATGCCTGCAAGAAGGAGTGTTTCTGTGCAATAACAAATAAATCGAAATAAGAATGTCTCCATACAAACAGCAAACGGCATTGTTGTTATCTATCAGTGTTCCACAAACCACACATCGAATCAGTCAAGCTAATGATGGCACTGCACCACTTTTTTTTGTACAATTGTAGTTTTTCCCAAAAAAGGGGCATAATTCAGCACAATAATCTCTCTAATCGCAAATGTACTCTACTGCAGACTGCAGTACGTCCTAAAAGATCATCATCTACTCGTACTCTGCTGAATCTACTAGCGATTTTCATGATCGTAAACTCTTCAAAAAAAAAGTATTGAAGGCGAGTGAATCAAAAAATGGTCACAATTTTGCCGTAATGTACTTTAAGGCTTGACCCCGTGCCTTTTGCACGTGCGTGCTTATTTGTTGCATACTTGTGCATGCTCACTGAAAATTTAAACTGGGTCCGGCCATCTCTATGAGAAAAATGCTACAGTTTAAACACGTCACTATGGCGTTTTTTATGCAGAAAAAGCGAAAGAGCTGTAGTTTGCGTTTGTGCAATGAAATGCCTTCAGAATTAACTCATTATTTTCTACGTTCGTCAACTGACTAACTATGTTTGCATATGTGCTTACTTAAAATTTGAACTATTAGCTGTTTATTTTTGTTGCTGTTACGGTTCGAATGTGACCTTCATCATGAACCGAGAAGAAGAAGCGAATCGATTTCTCTGTTTATCAGCCACTTTCAAAATTCACCGTTCAACAAGTGCACACTTTCACACTTGATACAATCACACAATCAAATTCAACCCCTTCCAAACCTATGCAAAATGAACCACTCTTCTTGTGCAAACTGCCAATACATTGGCTATAACCGAAACTTGCGTTAAACGTGTGCAAGTATACGAACTAATGTCGATCTTGCTCAGAAGACAAGTAGTTAAAGTTGGAAGAAAGTATCTGGTGGAAGATGTGCGGATAATTTTTGGCCCATCTATGTGTTTGAATTTTTCGTTAAAAATGATAACGACTTTCGCTAGGTACCGTATTTTTTGTTAATTTTAATTATACTGTACACTTCTTGATTTCATCTCTGTGCCTCTTGCATCCGGCATAACACCGCTTTGCACGTGGTCTTTTTGGAAACTTTTATGCCACGTACTGCACTGTACACTTTCATGGTTCCTCCAGCAAAATTCATACTGTACGACGCAAATTCTGCATTGTATGCCGGTAGAGTTTAAAAATTTAGAAATTCTCTTGCGTAAACTGCCATCGCTAATTCGGACGTTGCAGTATAATGGAAAGGGTGTTGGCATTCACAAGTATAATGATGGTTATCGTATGAGCATAGTACACCCACGGAAAACTAGCAAGTAATGTCATCTTGAATTGGTTACTTGGCTATTGAGTGCAAGTTGTTTGAAGACACTCAGTGGTGATGTCGTTTACGAAGAGATAGTTTAAAGCGTATGAATGATGTGAAATATAGCTAAAGATAACATACTCGATTATTCTATTCATGTTTTGGTAAATGGTTGTTGATTAAAATCGATTGCATTCGTCATCGTCACATTGCATTGTAATCTTCAACCCCAGTTCATCTATCTCATTGCTGTTCTATGATTATGCATAACTTCATTTTGCACTACTCATTTCGTTGTCATTTCTATTGCTAGTTAACATACATACCCATAACACTAATTGTCATTGCTTGCTAGTTGGTAGTTCACTTCTGTAATTTCTGTGTATATGCTACAACTCAATATGTACCATATTTCATAGTGTATTTTAAAATTTTACTAATTTTGTTATCCAATTGATTTGCTCAGTTCAAGTCCACCAAACACACTTATGTGAAAAAAAGCAGAGTTTTCGAGCAAGTTAAGCATGGAAAGTTTTGTTGTATGATTCGAGGAAAATAGATTTAAGTGTGACTTTTTTTCATCGTAATGTGGTTCTTGTGACCAGCAAGAGGTGCTTACATTGAAGACGAATAAGTTTTGCTTTAAAGCGAACGGTTTCTTTTCAGTGAGAATGCCTTTACTGGAAAGGTCATTAGTAAACATCACAAAATCTTCAGCAGTTCGTTTACTAAGTCAACGCAGGTATGTGGCCTCTTTTTAAGCACATTTACGATTGTTTTGTTTCCCTACACTCTTTTGTGTAGTTATTTTTCATTTAATGATTAATTGTTTCCATGTAATAAATGAATGATCATTCATCTACCAATGAAATGGTTCAGTGTTTGGGAGGGTTCTTCAAGAAAACATATCTTAACAACTGAAAAACGATTTTGCTTGCTGTTCAAGTGCTTTTAAGCTGTAGATGGAAGTAAGTCTTTGAGAGTTCCATCAGAAATTGTTTTTGTTCAATGGTGAAGTGTTAATGAATAGTGCAATAACTCTCAGCTGAAATACGTTCAATAGCTCATTGAAAAAAAAAAGAACGAAGAGGCGATTTATTGCTCGTAGTGAACAATACGACGTAATTTTTTTGTTCGTCTTAAAAACTGCTCTTCAAAGCCACAGAGTGCTTTTCAAAAATTATCATCAGCTTGTAACCAAAGGACTAATTTTTTTTTTCATTCACAGTTTGACATGGTTTTCGCACGTGAACATGGGTCCGCCGGACGCGATATTGGGCGTAACAGAAGCATACAAGGCTGATACGAATCCGAATAAGATAAATCTTGGTGTTGGTGCTTATAGAGATAATGAGGTAGTGATCCGATGACATACACTACCAATTTTCATTTTATTGTTTCATTGGAGCTTATCAAGTTTTTTTTTCTCTCATTTTTTCTCACTGATAAGATAAGACACCGAGCAAACTCATTGATACCATCCGTGGTGTCCTTCCTTCAATTGATAGCATTTCTATTCAGCGACACTTGCAGTTGTTATGCTTGATGTTATGATCATGATGTCGAGTCTGTGTGAACGTTTCGGTATTTATCAAAGAATTTCATGATCAAAGTATAAGTTCTACTGCACATATTCAATCTGTATCAGAAAAATTAGACCACTTATTCGGCACATGCTAATCGTTCAGTATCGATTAAGCATTCGAAATAAATGTATGCATTCAAAGAGTTTTTATTTGAAGGGTAGGCCACACGTGCTTGAATGTGTAAGGAAGGCAGAGGAAGAAATAATGGCGAGTCATATGGACAAGGAGTATGCGGGTATAGCGGGTATCGCACAGTTCACAAAATTGGCCATTCAGCTTGCGTTAGGTGATGAGAATTTGTCAGTGATTAATGATAAACGCAATGCAACCGTACAAGCTATATCCGGTACAGGTGCATTAAGAACTGGAGCTGAATTTTTGGTACGTTCTTTTATTTCACGATAGATTTTCAACTGTGACAGTGAAAGTCATTCATATTCTTATTGGTTCATGGCTTTCGCAAAATTTTTTTGAACTGACTTTCAGATGCTAATGTTTTGCAGGCAAAATGGCACGGTGGTCCGAAAGTGATCTATCAGCCAGCACCTACTTGGGGAAATCATGTACCAGTCTTTAAGTAAAACACATTACATTGTCAAATTATCTCAGCCGTCAGTTTATGCATGAGCAAAAGTAATGCCCTTAAGTGCTAAATTGAGTCTAAATTCTATATGATATAAAAATGGAAAGATTCGAAATATCAGTCAGATTTTCTGGATTAACTTGATGGACATTCTAAGGTGCTTTCAAGAGAAATTTTAGATTTTCCGGTTTGGATGTAAAGCAATATCGTTATTATGATAAGCAAACATGTGGTTTTGATGAAGCTGGTATGTTAGAGGACATTTCGAATATGCCTGAGAAATCGATCATTCTTTTACACGCATGTGCACACAACCCAACCGGAGTTGATCCAAAAGTAATGATGCATGAATTGAATTTATTTTTCAATGAAGAAACTGTCATGTGATCAGGAAGAAAATTTTTGGTATGGTTATAACAATTCTGTTGAGATTTCAGCGGAATTTTGATTCATTGGGAATGATACTGTGCTGCAGTTCGTTTGTATGTTATTATAATTTCAAGGCATTTTATTCAATGTCTTGTGCTAAGTTTGTTCCCATTATTTTAGATTGAACAGTGGAAAAAAATCGAAGAAGTGGTTCGAAAGCGACAATTGTTACCATTTTTTGATATGGCATATCAAGGATTTGCGTCCGGTTCAATCGATCGTGACGCATTCGCGGTGAGATATTTCGTCGAACATGGACATTGTATCGCATTGGCTCAGTCATTCGCCAAAAACATGGGACTCTACGGTGAGGAGTGGTTATTTTGTGAAATTTAGCTCATAACAGCATTACTAAAAGAGTTCATCGTTTCAGGAGAACGTGTTGGTGCGTTCACGTTTTTGTGTGGTTCTAGTGAAGAAGCATCGCGTGTAATGTCTCAGATGAAAATTTTAATTCGTCCTTTGATATCAAGCCCACCAATTCACGGTGCTCGAATTGCAATGCATATTTTATCGAACGATTCGTTGAAAGCACAGTGGTATGTGGGAATATTTCTATTACAGTAGCAGTATTGTAGTTTTATTTGAGTGTTTTCAGAGATAAAATTTGATTGCAGGCTCAAAGAAGTGAAAGGAATGGCGGATAGAATAATTTCAATGCGACTTCATCTAAAAGATTTACTTGAAATGGAGGGTTCAACACGAAATTGGAAACATATCGTCGATCAAATAGGGATGTTTTGTTATACTGGAATATCACCTGAACAGGTAAATGATATATTCATTCTGAAATACATTCACGAACTAGTTAGACAATTGTTGGTGCTAAATTAATAATTCGGTGACGATGATTCAATCTTGTAACTTACATCTGACGAGAATAAATTTTCTTATTGCTCAGATTCCTCCGAATACAATGTCAAGATCTCATCTAATTGGCATATGCTCCTTTATCGTTCTTGATTTTTAGAGACATTTTTTAGAAGAATTATTTTTTATAGAGAAATGTTTACGGTTCTCAATAATTAAGCATTATCCAAACGTATTTGAATGATCACTGTTTGTTTCAAAATGCGTTAGGTGCATACATAAGGCCAAACTTCTATTTTATATGCACCTTACCCGTGTCGTTTTCATCGCATGAAATCATCAATAAAATTGTTCTTTCAGGTGAATCGGCTCATTGAAAATTTCAGCGTTTATTTAACTCAAGATGGTCGAATTTCAATGGCTGGAGTGACAACGGGAAATGTTGAATATTTGGCTAGAGCCTTACATGATGTAACCAGATAAAAAATGTGCTGAACGAATATGTTGAAATGAGTCATGATTACTTTGTTGTGTTATTTGGTATCGATCCTTTTTTAAATTATCTATTCGTCTATATCCCAAACTGTTTCCTACGTCAACTTTGCAATTTTATCTGTAATTACCGGTGGCAAAAATTGAATTCTAAGAAAGCTGTTAGCATTTATTGCAACTTGAATAAAACTGTTTTGTCTTCACATCTTTCTGGTGCCATTTTCACAACATTTTCTCAACCTTAAAAGCACAACGATTAGATTTTAAGTTATAAATGGTGATTTTATGAAATACTAATGAGCAGTTGAGAATCGCCCTGATGGTTCTTTGTTGAATATTTTGTTTAATTTATGATTGCAGTCGAATATTACTCTGCATCAGTCCTCGCCACTACCAAAAAGCAAGTTGATTATTTTAGTTTCTTCGTCGTTATCAGAATCATAAGTTATTTCAGTTTTCTCTTGATTGTGATATATTCAAAAACCGTCTGAAGAATTTCACTTGTCATAAGAGTATTAAAGCTGAAACAATCAATAGAGCAAAGCTTGGCGATCATTTTATTCTGTGGAATAGTAGGTGGTGCAGAATTATGTGTAAGGAATTTGTTAATAGACAGGTGGCCTGCGAGGCATTTGTTTCGTTGCAGAATATTAAGCTGCGCTTCGTCTTTAAAAATACAGGTAGACTCTTCTTAGACGACCTTTATACATTTCTAACTTCATCACACAGTTCACATTTCATAGTTTCATTGTCTTTTTTGAAAAGAAGATATTCGCAGCACCGAGAATGACCACTGCTACCGCCATATCTTGCAATATATCCAGACGAAGTTGCGCAATTCGAAATGAATAAATACTAAATTGCCGCACCAGGAATACAAGGCAAACGAATGATTAAGCAGCAGTGATGTTGTGAAATTCTTGGTCAGTATTGTTGAAAACGAAAACCGAGGCGGTGATATGTCATGAATCATCTTTTGATTACCATGTGGGTGGTAAACAACAAATATGAGTGCATGTGAATGAGCTGGGAATGATTTATGCTTCTTTACGATGGATAAACCGGCAAATTTAAACAAAATGACTTGTTTTATCAAATGCCGGGATCATGACTGAGATTCAAAAGTCAGGATTCTCGCGAATCCGTGCAAACCCTAATCACAACGTCTTCTATTGCATATTGCAAGCGGGCGTTGAATAGTGTTGTATTTGCAAGGAGAAGGGTGCGATCATATAGTGAGTTCAGCTCTGATATGCGATATTCGGGAAAGGTTGAGAACCATAAACGCATCTATTAAGGTTGGCAGGTGGAGCTCGTCCCCGTGAGAACAATTTCGAGAAGAGCAAAAGTGCTTTCACCCTAATTAGTCTTTTAAAAATAGATTCCAGGTTATTGTTATCAACTTTTTTGGGGGCTCGTTATAATAATACAATGGTGTTTCTTTAGCAGTTCACTTGAGAAATCCGTCCCGGCGAGAACATCTTAGAAGAACCACGAGGACAGAGAGAGCAAAAGTTGATTCTCTCCGTCCTCGCCGGTACAGGGGTTGAAAATTTCATGCCCTTGCCAACTACAACATATATTCAGTAGATTCATCGCACTTGTTCTGTCTCAATTAAACCCACTGATCATTAGATGAACACTGATGAGTATTCATTGGTTCAAAGATCTCACAGTCAAAGCAACAATACAACGAAACACTGTTCGGGCTTTCGAATTGTCAGTCCCAAAAATCGATGCGCTGAGAGTTGCTTTCGGGAAATATTCTTTGAAAACAAGTGAGAAAAATGTTATTAAGTTAATTAAATAACGAGAACGACGATCAGTTGCTAATTTAATTGCTTTTTTGCTTCGGTGCAGCTGTCAATAATCAGATAACGAACGGTTTAATAAACTTTCCTTTAGGCTTCATTTGTACTCTGCAGTAGGTTGAAGAAGCTCAACGAAACATTATTTGATTTGGAGAAGTGGTTAATTGAAATTTTAATTCATTGTTTTCCGCTTCAAAAAGGGGCGTTGATACAAGTACGTACCCCTAGAAAATAAAATTAGTATCCCAAAGGAATCGTTTTGGAGTACTGGTGAGTTCGAGCTGCGGACATATCACGAAGATGCACTACGAGTTGAGTTGTAAGGGATGGACTGATAAAGCCGATGCTTGCCTAGGCTGTGAATGGTCCACGCACAAGGCAGAGGTATTGCTAAATACAGACTACCCAGATGTTCACGTGCAACTAATCTGAAGCTGGCGACCCCTTACAGAACTCCGCATTGATTCAAACACGCAGAGGCATGGTGCACCATGATTTTGGTAGATAACGCGTTATTAGTAATGAGGACGCTATGAGGCGTCGTCGATTCAACACGAGAAGGAATATCAAAGGAATACATGGCTGTTTCGTTGCGCGCTCTGTACGGCACTGTTATCTTTATGCTCCCAAAACTCTCAAAACGAGCAAAAATTTTTTTTTTTGGATATCTCATATAGATTTAGAGAAGCCGTTATAGTTGTTATGATGATGCTATCTTATTTCAAATGCGATAATGAAGTGTTATTGTGGGCGGTGCAAATTATACACCATTGTATTATCACTGAAATTGACTGAAAAATAGCGGACTAATTTTATGAGCATGCTTCTGTTAGTTGAACGGACTGAATCGAATAACTGTGAGCGAATGAGGTGAAAAATTTTTTGAATGATCATCACATCGATCACATTGTGAACGTCCAGTTAGATCACATCACGTTGTGAACATTGCAAAAACGTATTCAGTCCTCATTTTGCGACTAAATTAGTATTCTATAATTGTTTTGAGACGACAAAGCATAATATTGACAATTACAGGAAATCAAGCAATCAGAAACAGAACGGTCAAAGAAAGGTATGAAAAATTGGATGTCAATTGCAACTCGCTAGAAACTATGCAACAGGCAATCAACTAACTCATAAGGGGAAGACACAACTGCATTTCATTCCCCTATAAGCTCAGCTTATAACCGAAGCCTGCTAGTGGGCATGAGCCTTATTTCATCGAGCGATACTTAAATTAACCTGAGAGTGTTTGAACACCAGTAAGAGTTTTGTGAACTGCACAATTTATCGCGAAATACCTTAAAAACGAAGCATTAGCATATTATCGTCTAATTTGAGCGATTTGAAAGGTTCGACTGAAAGATGAACGATTTATTAAGTTCGATGTTTTGTCGTTAAGTCCTTAAATGATCATCTTTCAACTGTCCGCTCCGACTTCAGTTCCGAAATTAGATCTGCTCCGCCCCGACGTCGGATCCGGAAAAGACTATCATTTCGATCTTAGCTGTGGCTACTGAAGGTTTTTGTGATATATTTTTTGAGAGAGCCAAGATTTTTTTTCTGTCTCCGGAGCTTAAATATTATCGTTCATAAGCACCAGCTTACACAACGTTGCGTAAAAGAGCATTGCTCAGAAGTGTAAATGCATGATATTAAACAGCTGGAATTGAATTGAATCGCCTATAAAAATGCGATGAAAATATTCTATATTCGCCATCACCACTGCCGTTCGAAAATATTCAATAGACAGCAAGTGGTTTGTGCTCTCTTTTTTTGGCGATGAGATAAATTGAACAAGTATTGAAGAGGATTTTGGCTATCGAAGAGCAGTACCGCATCCTTCTTAGTTTTGGAATGTTAAATTCCAGTGCTTCTCAACATTCTCTTAAATTTTTTCAGTGTTCGTTCAACATGTTAGACCAGTGGTTCTCGCGTTCTGGTGCTCCATTACCCTTTTTGATGAAATGGCAAGCCGCCGTTACTCACCCCCTCCCCCCTGATATGAGAACTTACTACTTCTACGTGTAACCTCAAGACCAAACGATAAAAATGGAAATGCATGAAATGCTATTGTCCATGACACACTCACTTCAAACTGATTCTGATGGATTCTCATTCTTTTCGGGCGTGTTGTATTCACTCTCATAGCTATTACATGCGAATACCGTTCTCTTCATAACTTTTTCTCATTCACTTCGTCTCATTTCACTTCACAGTTAGAATCAATTTCTCATTCTGTAGCATATACTGTTTATTGGATACGTTGACGAGTGTTGACAGCCGAAATCAACGATACAGCAATCGAATATTATTGCTGAACAACATTCGACAGTCAAATGATCAATTATAGAGTGTATTTGATAGAATGAGAATCTGAGTTTAATTGTTGAGTGAAATGAATGAGAAATTAGCGGAAGAGAACACTTTCGGTGATGAAAGTTATGAGAGCGATTTTAACAGCAAGGAAAAGAATGAAAACCCTGTTAAAACGAATTAAAACCCTATTAGGCGCGGACCAGCTAATGATGCTCAGAAAATAGGAGAATGAAAAATGTTGCCATCAACTAATCTCATTTATATATCCGAGTTAAAAAACACCATCACAATGGCGTTCTGTCGTAAAATAACAACTACACGAAATAGAATTTCCCGACCTCCTCCATTACCCCTTAACACCTTCAAATTACCTAACAATAAGATGGGTAATTTAACGCCCTATGAGAACCACAGTGTTAGACGGCTTTGACTTCAATGTGTTTCCTTAATTTATAGGTGAATTTAAGGCGTCTGTTAGGTGAATGTGTTCTATCGTTCATGCCTTTATCCCAGAGCATCCAAAACGCGTAATTCAAAGCACTATTGTGCTATGCACAACGTGCAGTGAAAGTGATTGTGAGATATCATCGTATGCGATATGTACGTTGTTTCGAAGAATATTTTAAAACGAAGCGTAAAGTTGGCCTTAAATGTGAAGCAAGTTGTTCTCATGAATGTGCGGATGTTGGAGCACGAAATAATTAATAAACACGACAGCGAATTCGGTTAGTTGAGTAACGAAGTTGATCACAGATCCAAATCACCTAGAGCGGTGTGTATTGCGTGAATGTGCTTAACGTAACGTAAATAACAACTTTATAATCATGTGTATACGAGATCGCATTACAGCACAAATTATTG